CATTTTATCAATTCTAGAGTACTTTACTACCCATGGGATTTTTGATGATTTAATCCATTTACCTAAAAAATCTCTGCATTAAAAGCCTGTGGTCTGAGCATAACAGCAGCCTCAGTGCACACCTCAGCTCCCCTGCCCCACGCTGAAGGTCCCGGGCATGGCTAAACGTTTGCGCTGTTTTCTTCTACCTCTCGGCTAAGTCATCTACCTATTATTTCCAACCAGGTACCACTCAGTACGATTTCTGCTTGGCTAGGACATCAAATAACTGTAACAAATCTCACCGTGATGCATACTTGCCCTCTTTCTCTGTTCTTTACACAGGTCCCTCTGTCCCTTCGGAGTGTTTCGCTCTCTCTCACCTCAGGGCCTTGGCTTGGCCCTTGTCCCAGTCTTCACCCTGCTGACTCTTCCTTACCCTTCACGTCTCAGCTTTAGCATTCTTCCCTCGGGGAAGCGCTCGCTGAAGCCCGGACTAGACTAGGTCTTTCCGCAGGTGAATCCTTCTAGGGGTCCCTAGACTCTCCTGTCGTGACAGACACCACACAGATAGTTTTCGTGAACAGGGAAGATAAAGGGCACCCGGGAAGTATCAGTTTAATCAGTGAGTTAACCCCCCGCCCCCCCCCGCCCCCCCAGAGATCTGTTTTCTTGGAAGGAAGCATCTCAGCCAGTTCCACAGGTCGGCGTCTGGCACGTCTTCCTTCCCCCACGTAAACCTGCCGTAGGATGGGGAAGGCTCACGTACTCCAAAGCTTTGCTCGTTGCCAAGAATGTGGGAGGTAGAAAGAGCAGCTCTGGTTGTCCCTCTGCTGTGGAGTTTGGCCCCCTGCCTGCCCCTGGCCACACACCCAACGCGCTCACTCAGATGTCCGCCTCCCCTGGGGACAGAGGCGTTGTTCTGTGAGCCACCAGCGTGCGCTTCGGAAGAGGAGGTCGTGTGCTGGCTTGTCCCCTTCCCGAGTGGAGGCTACGTCACAGTCTTAATCTTCCCGCTTGGTTTCAGAAATTACTTCTTCAGTCTTCACAAGTCACTGAAGAATCACGTCCTGCAGTTTGTACTGTAGTTTGATGTCTCTGAGTTGATTTGTCCTATGCAGGATGCCTGGGGACGGGTGTGGTGGGGGCAGGGTGGTGGCACTCTCCATCGGGCCTGCAGGGGTGGTAGCAGGGTAGGTGGTCTGCATCCTTCTTTCCAGGAGAGGTGGCAGATTCTTTGGGTTCATGTCTGTGAGTGCTGGTTGGTTTTCACTGAGTTATTTTAACCTTTTTTCAGTCCCTTCCTTGTGTGGCTTATGGCAAGTAGTTTGAAGACCGCTTTCTCTCTGGATGACCTCCAAATGTCCTTGTTGATAACTGTGTAATTGGAAATCACACCGGGTCCGTGCCAGGTGGATGAGGCAGGTGTTACTGAGTCTCCGCTCCGGATCATGGAGTTGAGGGGCCTGTCCAGTTCCCTTCGCTCACAGGGGCTCCGCTAGGGTGGGGGTTGGCCTTGCTTCTCCAGGCTCCGTTCTGTTCCCATGCAGAGCCGGGTGCCTCTCTGGTTTAACAGCCACACCTTGCCTCTAAGTTTGTGGCTCAAACCCAGGATTTCCCTTCCGTGGTCAAGCTCCTTGCATCCCCCCAACTAACCAGATCTGGGTCGTGTGTGTGTTGGATCTTGGAACCGAACCGAGAGGGTGAGATGAAGAAGCCATTGGCCAGTAGCCCTGTGGTTTCTCTCACAACTGTGTGATGTCGCTCTCCTTTTCTGAAATCTTACAAGTTCACATTTCATCTGCTTCTTAGTCTATCAAGAATGGAAGGTTTCTTCCCAGGACCGGCAGACACGAAGCTACTGTGAGCTTTGGGCCCTTGTCCGGGACTTTCCAGAAAGCTTCCCCCTCCCCCTCCCCCCGCCGGGCATCCTGAAAAACACTCTGCCGATGGGAGGGCAGGGCTCTGCTTTGCGCTGTGTCGTGCCGACCGGGCACGTCTTTCCCTTCTCTTCTTTCTTCTTCCTCCTTCCCCTTCATTTTTCTCCTGTGTGAAAATGCTTGTTCTAGCTCATTCAGTGTCTGGGTTTGCAGTGACTTCAGGCTCAGCTGAGGGAATGGTGTGGTCACAAAGGGTACAATGAGTTGATGACCAGAGCTGGTTTCAAACAGGAGATGAGGGGGACACATTTTGCACTTCCGCCCAGTCGGAACTAAGTAGGTTCCTCTACAAAGCAGACCTCTGAGGCTGCGGCTTTCCAGGAGTTCCGTTCTTTATAATGCGCCCCGTAGAAACACACAGGTGCCCAGAGATGCAAACAGGGATACATGTTTCGCAGTTGTTTGTAATGGTGAGGACCGAAAAACAGCTTCGATACTTGCACACCAGCGGAAGAATGCTTATATTGATCACGGTGCGTCCGTGTGGTGACGCCGTCTAGCCCTGAGAGACGGACAGGTCTAGAGGTAGAGAGTAGAAAGGTGACTGTACGTGCTGTTCGGTGTGGGGGAGCCCTGTTGGGTTGTATATCCATATTCTATTTAAATATGTGTGTGTGTGTGTACGTATCTCCATAGAAAAGTCTGGGAGAGTGTACTCCAGACTATTAACCGAAGTTCACGGGAATGGAGTTATAAGAAGGGGGAGTAGATACTTCACTGTTTCAGTTTACACATTTGTAGTATCTACCTTTGTCAATAAATGATCAGTTTTATAATCTTAAAAATAACATGGGGGTCAAGGAGTACGAGATATATTAATTTAGTTTATACGTCTCTTTACCTGCGACTCTGATGTCTGCCTGGGTTTCCTGGTCACTTACGAAGCTCTGAGGGGTCACCAGGATCACTGGGTTGCCCGGCTCTTTCTCAGGTGGATGCTGGTGATTTTTATCGCGTGGCGTGGATTATTATCCCTCCTCACCTGTATTTCCAACAGCGTCATCGGAAGAGTATGCTCTCACTGAAATGTTAAGGAATATTAGCTGAGTTAGTAGTACTACTTAACTTAATTCATCCGTTTTTCGAGAAGAGCAGGGCTGTTCTATGAGAGTCAACACGATGGGCGAGAACTCGAAGTTTTCTTGGTTCTACGCCATCACCCCACCTGTGTGCCTGCCACGGCTCTAGGCTCACTGCTCGTCAGGAATGAGGGAAATTCATAGAGAACATTCCTTACAAAAATGAAATATTAGAATGCCTCTTCATTGTTTTCTTTTTTAATTTCCGATGTTTGGTTTTTGTGAGGAGAGGGGAAATAATCAGTGCTATGTGTGGGCTCTCAAAAAGTAGAAGACCATCAGTTTGGGTGTTAGGGCTCCAACATGTGAATCTGAGGGGACAGAAACACCAATACATACACAACAGACGACATAACCAGTGAGTCGAATATTGACAGTTCGCCGACTAGAGGTTCTTGAATTTCATCTTCCTCGTGTTTTCAATTAATCCCAGAGCCAAGATTAATTTCTTCTAGCACTCTGGAAAGGAATGAAACTTTTGTTTATCTTTTTATTTAATCCAGACTAGAATTTGGAGAATATTGAGTTGCTTCTATGGTTTGAAATGCCAACTTTTACTTGATGGTTTTATGCTACCTATTGTGATACTGATATGTGAATAGTGTAGTTCCAAATGCCTTCGTGTTCACCTTAGTGAAACAACAGTATCCATTCCAATGAAAACAGTGAGCAAATTTATGTTTCTTCTGTTTGGATTTCAATTCCAAAAATGAAGCATTAAATTGGCGTCTGTCGTGTTCAGACCTTGACCGTAACAGCATGAAATTGGGACACGGGAAGTTCAGAGGCACCTGTGGGAGCCCAGCCTACAGTTCCACACATGTGGGTGGTAGTACCTTTTAGCCTCTTTAAGGTTTGTTCATTAAAATAAGCAATTTGTTTGAAGTATAATTAGATAATAATTAAAAAATTTTTTTTCAGCTGAAAAATTTTGTCCACATAGGTCCTTAGCTGCAACGAAGCATCATCTCTCTGTCAATAAAACGTGCCCTGGCTAATTTACAGTTCCTGCCGTCTTCTCCGGCCGCCTGTCATCAGTGAGCGTGCGTGGCTCTCGGGTGCTGGGGGTTAGTTACTGAGGCCAGGAGCTGCGCTCTCCATGGGCCACAGCCCAGCGTGGGCCGGGCTCGGCTGGGGAGTCTTCTCTGACTGCGAAGCACTCGAAACTCGTTACCCTTTGTGCCAGCCAGCTGTTTGTCTCTCCCACCGAGCGAGGGGCCGCCCCCCACCTGGACACGGCGTCCCACGCGCACGTTCTAAGTACCACGTCCCGAGAGAGTTGGGACCACACAGCGACCCCTGTCTCTGTGTCCTGGACCTTGTTTTGCCCCAGTCACCTTCACAGTGGCTCCGCGTCCCGAGTTGTCCCCCTTTGCCTTTCGAAACCGAACTTCTCTGCTCGCACCACTTCTCCCACGTGAAACGCCTGCTTCTCCTGTAATAAGAGGAGCAAAAGGATAATTTTGTGAGGACATACTTGGTTCTTACGTTGAAGCCCTGGTGATTTTTGTAAATTCAGTGTGTGCATTTATCTTTTCCAGACCTAGGCACTTCCTTTCATCAGCGGGATTTCCAGGCAGTTAAGCCCTGAAATGCTAGGAGCATAGGTTTTGTGGTCTCCGATTGGAGCGAGTCCAGAATTGGAGGCGGCTTCCCTGTGCGCAGGCTGCTTTGAAGTTGCTTCGAGACTCACTAAATCTCCTTCTGCACGTCTTTTTCTGTCCCATATGGATTTCTCCAAAGATTAGAGTCCTTTTTTTTAAAAAAAAATTATCAGTCTTTCCCCGGTCCTCAACCACCGCTTAAAATAATAAAATGTAGTCAGCTTGTTTTCAAGTGCCTTAGTTCCATGAACGTTGCCAGGAACTTTTAGGTGAATTCTCTGCTGACCACCTGCCCGCCTGGGTCTGGGCTGTGCCCAGGCGAGGCCCTGGGTGCCCAGGCTCGTCCTCGGTCCCTCGGCCAGAGGGGTGCAGTGACTCTCTGCCTCTCTCTCTTTCAGCGCGATCGCCTCCATCCTCAGGGCCTGGCTGGACCAATGCGCAGAGGACTTCCGAGAGCCCCCTCACTTCCCGTGCTTACAGAAACTGCTGGATTATCTCAAACAGATGATGCCCGGCTCTGACCCAGAGAGGAGAGCACAGAATCTCCTCGAGCAGTTCCAGAAGCAAGAAGTGGAAACTGACAGTGAGTGCCTGTTCGATCGCAGGAGAGAAGCTAGACTCTGATCCTGTAACCGCCCTGTGGAGGACGTGTTCTCCCCACACTGGAGTGACAGACGGGGGCGCTTGGCTTCCCTCTGAAGGCCAAGCCTCGGGGGAGGTGGTGGTGGGTGTGGAGTTCTCAGGGTTATTCGACAGCTGATTACAGGGCCCTGAAGTTTTGGAGCAGAGGGGCTTTTCAAGACCACCTAGCCCAGCTCCCTCCTTTCACCTGTGAGGGAACTGGGACTGAGAGAAGCAAAGAAGTTTTCTAGGGCTTCCTCTAATACCGTGAGAGGATGACCTGTTATCTGTCCTTGTGAACCTGAATTTGCTCTGAGTGTCTGCCTGATGGCACCCCCTTCCATCACAGGGAAACTCATCACAAACAGCCACCACCATTCGGCAGGCAAGGAGCCACCCCCAGCCCGCTCCTGCCCTCAGGGGAGCTGGGAGGAGGCGTTTCTCCCTCGGCTACTTAATCTGCCCCCTGCCAGGGCAGGCTGCCGGTCACTTCCAGTCTCTAATGGCCTCACCAGAGGAAGTTTCTGCGGTTGTTTTTTCCTACTTGAGGAATTGACTGCCTCATTTCAGGGACAAAGGAAGAGCCGCCAGGTTGCGGAGGGCTTTGAAGACAGGCAGAAAGCGGTCAGGACGGGCTTTCAGCGTGGTGTTTTCCTCCCCCGCTGGCGTGCTGGGCGCTGGTTGCCATGGCAGCTGACCCACTTGGAGCCCCTGACAGGCATTTCCCTGAAGTGACGCCCGATTTCCTCAGTGGGGCGCCGGAAACGGTTCCTCCGCGCCGATAAGGGAAGCCGCCTGAGTGCCAGAGAAAATAACCTTAAATTCTAAACAGTACCTGTTGCATTTTTTATGCTCCGGGGGACCGGAGAGGGGAAATGCAGTTGCATCATCGGAAGCTGCCTGCCAAGTGCCCGTATCTCTGATGACTTCATCTGCCGGGAATGTTCGATCACCAGGGCTCCCCTCCAGGGGCCGGCCTCGGCTCCCTCCGGGCCCCCCGCCGCCTTTGTGCTGGAGTGGGAAGCGCTGCGCGAGAGCCCAGCACTCCCCTGGGGCTGCCCTGGCTCCCGGCCTAATTGGGGAACCGGTGGGACCAGTGGTTCATTGTCCCTGCCCGGGGACCGAGGGCAGAGCTCACTTGGCAGGCGGGAGAGGGGCCGGGGAGGGCCCCTGACTTTGGACAGCCGTGCAGGCAGTCCCCAAGAATGAAGGTTTTCTAAGTTTGGAAAAATTTTTATCAAGAAAGCTCGAAACTCTGATGATTAACTGAAAAGGAGTTTTAGGAGCTTGGTTCCCATGCCTTTTTTCACCCCGTTTCATGCCGGCAAAAGCAACCATGTCTCCTGTTTGTTTTTCACAAGTGAAATGTGCTTCAGCTTTTTGCCTACGTGCCTCTGGAAGAGAGTGGAAAGCAAAAACAGGGGGCTAGGCCCCAGAGAGACGGGAGCACGTAATCTCTCACAGCAGCAGCCAGGGCCCCTCTCAGGTGGCTGTAGGAGTGTGGAATGAACAAGGAGGTGAGCCCGGCCCTACACCCTTAGGCTGAAGTGGGCCGGCTCTGCATTGCAGAGGGATGGAGGCAGATTTATGGAGTCGCTAGCAAGAAGGTCGAGAAGCCCGTTCTGAACCTTTGCTCGGGATTTCAAGGTCTCATTCCTCCGTGGAGTGAGAGCGTACCAAGGTCGTGTGGAGGAGCAGCGGTGGAGTCATGGGGTCTCAGCTTTCTCGGCCTGTTTGGGTCCCAGACTCTGGAGTAGGCAGCGACCCCCTCCTGCCTTCTCAAGTCACAACCCGCCCCAGTCACGGCAGTGCTTTCGGCTCCTTGAGGAGGGGCCAGCCTCCAACCACACACCTGCCACCAGAGGTGGCGAGTGCTTGTGTGGCACCCTAGTAGGGCAAGTGATGTAGGGTCCATTCTTGACACCCTCCTCCCCCTAGAAGACTAAGAACAGGCCACTCCAACGTGATCCATGGTGCCTAGATGTCTTTTATTCTACAAGAAAGAGAGAAAAGCCTTAAGTTGTAAACATTCGGGGGAGTCGTGACACATTGAAATTTCTGCTAAGATGGAACGGAATAGAGCCAGGTGTTTTTCTGTGCCAACAGTCTGAACAGAGAGGAGAGCAAGGAGTGTGCCGGGGACGAGCCTGGGAGACCACCCGGGAACCGGGGAAGGTTCCAGGGAAGGGAGGCCGGGGAGTCATGCGCACGCCCGCACGCTGGTCTTTCCGCGTACAGCCTGCAGCCTGGAGGCCCGTGCTGAGTCCTCCCGCTTCGGATCTGGAGTCTGGGGTGGGGAGTGCGGGGCCCGTGACCCGCTCCCTCCGCCTGTGCCCTGTGTCACTTGCTCATCGGTGATCTTCTCTGTAATAAGGCTGGAGGGGAATTTAGTTGAGATTGTCCCGTTTCATGCCTATTTCAATTCAGGTGGAAGCTGAAAGCTATTCCAAGCATTTTGAGAATCCCAAGGACTTTTTGAGGTTTCCAAGGACTTCCATCAGCATGTCTGACGCCACACTGGCCCGTTTTACTCCCCGGAGCCTGGCCTGCCTTCGCATTTGGCCCTTCTAGGCTTCTGGTTGTACATGGCCCAGTAATTAAGAACTGCCTGTTTGGGGTTCAGGAAGTAGTTGGGTTAGTCCTTGAGCTGACCAGAGCGTTTGAGGGAGCCCGAGATGAGGGTAACCCCCAGCATGTAGCCCAGCTTTGCTTCTCCCCAGACTTTGCCTCACCTGGCCCTGTCCTTGGCCTAGGGACCAGGGTCTGTCACAGGACGAGCAGGAAGAGCTTGTGAAAACCCACATTCCGCTCAGATTCATTCTGCTTGCTCCTCTCTCCCTGTGGGTTTTCTGAAGGGTTTGCCCTTTCCTTCCTGAAAGAAAGAAGGTCAGTTGGACTGCATAGGCAGGGTCATACACAGTGGCCCCCCAAACGACTGACTTTTGTCCCTCCATCCACAGATGGGTTCCCCAGCACCACGCCCTGCCGCCTGGAAGAGGAAGAGGAGCCGGAGGCCGGAGGGTCTGCAGAGTTCACGTGCTTCTCAGAGGACCTCGTGGCAGAGCAGCTGACCTACATGGATGCAGTGCGTCTTCTCTTTGTGCCTCAGACGTGCTTCTGCTCGCAGCCTGGGGGGTGACAGTACTGGTGGCCCCGGGGAGGGCAGGGGTCATGTGACTTAAGCCTTCTCAAATCCTTGAGAGAGGCCATGCCTGTAAATGCAGAGCGAAGCTGCGACTTGAATCAATCACCTGAATAATTCAGGCCTAAGCTCTTGTCGCAAGTCAGGGCGAAGGTGCTTTTTCCTTGGCTCAGTGCACAGAGTGGAATGAGAATTTTAATCCCGGTGAAACAAAATCTACCCCGTCCCATGGATATTTCTCCCCCTTTAAACTCATAAATATTTCAAGATCTGAACTGTTTACTTGGGGGAACTGCACAAAGGTCAAAGTATAAGTTAGGCTGAAGTAAATTCACCAGACCCACATGTGACTGTATCTGGCAGCTCACTTCCACACGTGCTTCTTGTACCTTTGAAGTTTGAGTGTTTTTTTAGCTGTACATATTTGATTACGTCAGCCACGTTTCGTAGCTCGATCTCAGCTGGTAAATGCCAGTTAAAGAGAAAAGGACCATTGTGAATTATCACGATAGTTTGGGCTCCTCTGCACTTACCACTTTGGAGAAAGCAGCGTGAAAAGTGGCAGAGTTTCCATCTGGTGAGCAGGCAATTAAACGCTCAGAGGTACAACAGATGCCAACGTAAAGTAATCCTGGTGCTCCCTCTTTTTTATAGAAACTCTTAAATAGCGTGAATTGTTGTGCAAATGAGAATCTGATTTGTTCAGCAAATTTGTGGTTGTTCCACGTGACAGCATAAGAGAAAGATGAGAAATGTCATTGGTTATGTATGACTTTTAGGTTGCGTAACTTTTTCTTTCATATGCTTCTTACCTTCTTCATTTTAAATAATGTGAGATGGTGACACTGATGAATGTCGCATGTATTGTGCTTCAGTGGGTCACTTTTCAGGTGGTCATTGAGTGTTCATATGTATCATAGACCATTCATGCTCAGGAGCGCCCAGAAAGCACCGTGGGCACAATTTTGAGGTCAAAATAATCTTTAATGTTTTCCAGTTCCAGTTGACATGCGATATTATAGTAGTTTCAGTGTACAATAGAGTGATTAGAGATTTATATAACTTATAAAGCGAGAGGTCAAAAATAATCTTAATCACTTTTAAATTTGATAGCATAGATTTTTACTTGGCTTTCCTTGAGACAGAAAAGTCAAAGTGTTTTGGGGCTTTAATTTTTTTTTTTTGGTCATTGTGTTTCATTTCTTCAGCTGAGCACGTTTAGAAAGAACATGTGGGCTTTTCTGATCAGTTCATTTATTAATTACTTACTTTTGTCTATTGAAATGAACACCATGAGGCAAATCAAGTAGAAAAGGATTATTTTGTCCACTCAAAAAAAAAATAGCGATGCACAGATGACCCAGATGACGCGCTTTGCCACGGGCCATGTCTGCGTTGCCCCTAAAGTGAATTCCTCTTTTGTTCTAGCAACTCTTCAAGAAAGTCGTGCCTCACCACTGCCTGGGCTGCATTTGGTCTCAGAGGGACAAGAAGGAGAACAAGCACTTGGCTCCCACCATCCGTGCCACCATCTCCCAGTTCAATACCCTCACCAAATGCGTCGTCAGCACCATCCTGGGGGGCAAAGAGCTCAAGACCCAGCAGAGAGCCAGAATCATCGAGAAGTGGATTAACATTGCTCACGTAATTGTCTTTTCAAAAAGCATTCTTTGTGTTTAGTAGATGTCAGAGGCTCCTTCCTCCCTGTGTTCAAATCGTCTCTGTTTGGTTGAAAGGCCATGGAAAGACTGCGTACGAGGGCCCATCGGGTTTTGTTCATTGTTATTGCTGAAGTAAGCAAGTCGCCTTTCTTTAATTGGGAGGTGATTTATCTTTCCTCTCTACCCTGTTTTTCCTTGCTTGCTTCTGTTTGCCCCGGAGCCCCACGCGGCTGCTTCTCCAGGTTGAGACAGCCTGTCGGCAATTTCCTGGTAATCGCGCTGTCAGTTCCACCCTGCGTTCAGTAAACACACACTGGCGGCCGCAGTGTCGGACAGACTGCGCTTCCCCGCGGGGCCGGTACCTTCTCAGAACCCCGAATCTTTGTTTCTTAAGGACTGAGACACGGAGATTGCACATTAACCCGGTGCTTCTCTGAGAGTCTTCCATCTGCAGCGGGAGGGGCAGAGTCTGTTCCTCGGCCCACATTACATTTTGCTGCGAGTCGGTCTGGCGCCCTGGGTCAGCAGCCTGTGTGCCATATGACCTTATCTTGGCCTTACTTCATCACCGAGAAAGGTGGACAGTGTTGAGTCAGTGGTCACCAAATATTCTGTGAACTTCTAAAAGTGTGTAAGGTGCATTTTTATGTATTTTGGTTACCTAGACAGGATGAGCACAATGAACTTGGTCTCACAGGAGCCTGTAGGCAAACAAGGAAGCTCAGATGTCCAGGAGCTGTCTCAGCCCCAGGGGCAGAGGAGTCCGGCCGGGGGAGCCCCACGCTGCAGGGTGGGAGGGAGGGGAAATCCCTCTGCCCACGCTGGCCGCTGGCCGAGGAAGGCTTGTGGATAGGGTGACATTTGCATTCAACTTGAACAATAGATACAACTCTTGGTATTTAAAGACTGGGGAAGATTTTGTTTTCTAGGTAGAAGAACTTGTATCAGCCAAAGCTATATAATTAACAATTTTGAAAAATAATTATTATGCACAAGGGGGACCCCAACAAACTGGACTATGTTTATAAGAAACTGTGTACTTATTCTTACATGTTTGAACCTCAGTCACCTGCCAGGTTCTCTCCGTTTGATGCAATAGGCCTATCGAGATGGTTTTTCCACCGCTCAAAACCGTTTTTGAACTTACCGATTTGGATGCCTTTTAGTGCTTCTGCTGTTGTTTCACCTCTTCCACATCAGCAAAACATTTCCCTTGGAGGACTTTTCTCATCCAGGGAAACAAAAAAAGTCACTTGGTGTGAGGTTGGGTGAATAGGAAGGGTGGGGCATGGGGGTCATGCCGATTTTTGGTCAAAAACTTCTGAACACTCAGCATGAGGGGGGCAGGTGAGCTCGTAAACCACCCAGCATGAAATTGGCAAACGCATTGAAAGAGTCTTCAAAAAAAATTCACTGAGGCCAAATGCAGCCTCTCACAACAATGCCTGCTGGTACACTGATACAGACGGGTTCCTAGAACACTCACTTAGAGGGGAAAGCCTGTACTACAAGGGGCATGCCCTCCCAAAAATAATTCCATTTTCTTGGGTCCCCACCCCTGTAAATATCTCATTAACCCATGTTCTGGGCTGACCCTTCAACAGAAACACATTTTTAAAATCTCATCATATAGGTATATGTCATTAAGCCCCATCTGTGGGGCATAATGCTTACATTTCACATTCCTTCTCTTTTTTCACATTCTTTTAAGTAGTCTTGAATTAAAGAACAAGGCCATAATTGTACCACAGAATTCGCCTTTTTTCGAGTTTTTAGGTTACCACAGACTTTTTAGTGCATGAAAAAGGTAAGAAACAAAGACTACCTCATGCACTGTTGATTTTTCCGTTTCTGGGTTGAGCTTATTTCTCAACAAGAGCTACAAAAAGAGGTTCTGACGGAGTGTGACAGAGAGCATGAGACTGTTCTGGTCTTCCTCGGACGATAAGAGAACACTTTTTGCCATTAATGCAGTATCATTTGCAGTCTTCTCTGTGTCTCAGAAGAAAACAGTCTGTGTATCTCGGATCCACTCAACTGCTGAGAAAATCTGTAGCAAGAATATAGCATCTGCATGTATGAGAATGTGGCTCATCCAGTGCCTTTCGGTCTAGAGTTAAATACAAACTGCACGTTGCTGTGACAATAAGCTATGTGAGTCGAACAGTTGGAAGTGTATTCCAGACGCCGTCGTGCGTGCGTAGGTGCTGCGGGACCTGGGATGGAGAGCCGCGACGCAGCGGCTCCCTCCTGCCGAGCACCTGCGCCCGGCGGAGTCGCGTCGCTGACTTAGGCTCGTCGCTGGCTGCCTGCCGAGAGCGACTGCACTTTTCTGGCATTAGGATCATAGTCAACTTTTATTGAGAGGATGTTTGAAAACTGATCATCTTACACACAGAAAAAATTTCTGACCAAATATGACCACATCGCTTGGACTGGCCCCACCGCCGCATTTTTCCTTTTGTATCTTATCTCCTGGAAGGAGCCCTCCTTTTCTAGCAACGAGGCTGGATGCCTGTTCTGCTCCTTGAAACCCTTGGCCTCAGCCTCTTTCTGCATAATGCGTTCCATATGTTTGTCACAATGTGCATGCAGTATCTGTGCCTGCGTTCTTTTATTTATTGCAAGTTTCCTGATTTTCAGAACGTGATTCTGGATTCTGAACCTTCGTTGAACCGTGCTCTCGGTTTCCAGACCGACTGTGATTCAGAGCTGTGTCTCTCCTTCTTTCTCTCTCTTTCCCTCTCTCTTTCTCTCTCTCTCTCTAAGTAAGGGGAAGGCATGCAGACATTTAAAAAGAATGGGCATGACTTTTGTGAAGTACTTTGGCATTTACTCTAAAGAAAATATTTGAGGGTTTGTTTGGCATAGTTTTAAGTGGTCAGAATTCGGCATGCTAAATTAGAGAATGCTGCTTTTCCTTCATATATTCAGGATTAGCATCACTTTGTGAAACGGTCTTTTAAGCAATGTGCGTTTGTGCCCAGCCACTCTGGGACCTCGGCTCCCCAGCTGTTCTGCACAAAGCCAACCCCCTGCTCGCGCAGCGCGCTTAATGGTGAACAGTGGCTGGATCCCATTCCCGCATGCCTGCATATGAAGCGTCTCCTTTGACAGAAGGCGTAGCCCACTCTCCCCGTGTTGCCTCCTTCCCCACACTAGGGGGGCGTGAGACCCTCCCCCCGACTGCTCTGCTCCCCCTGCCATTCGTTCAGCAGGCCTTGGCCTCCAGGGCCACCGCCTGCGGAGGCCGCCGACTCCCTGTGGTCACTTAAGTTTCAGAGTCAGGGAGCCTTTCCCCTTCCCCACAAAGTGACGTCCAGAATGCTTCCTGTTCTCCTCCTATTTTGTTTTAAGACGTTGCCAAGAACGAATTAGATTTTAAAAGCGCAAGTTATTTTGGAAACACTGAAGTACCAAGGTGTTTTTGCATGTTTATGTTTGTGGCACAAGCCAATTTGAGACTAAATGAATGTGTATAAAAATATTCCCTCCTGGCTAAGAACATAAAAGCCAAAGTTCACGTTGTGGTGAATTTTTATTGCCAAGTTATGTACACCTCTCTGGGTTGGCCATGAGATGCCCGATACCATCTGACCTCAGAGGCTGCTGCCCCGCTCGCTTTGTGGGTCTAAGGGATGCGGTGGCTTTTCATGTGTGTTTTTCGGGCATCTGTGCGCTTTCAGCAGAAGAACGTTTGCTTTCTCTAGCACGGCTCTGCGCACTCACCTCCATTCCTGTTTTTACTAGGGAAGCTGGAAACTATAAAACTGTAACAACAACGCACAAAATATATTAAAGGAGAGCAAAACAAGCACGCAGTGCCAAAATCTATAAAGTGTTTCAGTGAACCGGGGTGGGAGTAAGGGGCCACTTTTTGATGTGCGGTATTTATACAGCTGCCTATTTAGTGGTAAGAATTCATAGCAGCTGTGATACCTCTGGAACAGGAAACGACCAACTCACTGTGTTATTGATATTTAAATGCCTTTTATGTTTTAATCACCCTCCGTACAGGAATGCAGAATCCTGAAGAATTTTTCCTCCTTGCGGGCCATCGTGTCGGCGCTGCAGTCCAATTCCATCTATCGGTTAAAAAAGACCTGGGCTGCGGTCCCAAAGTAAGTTCCCAAGTGTCTGCTCTGCTTTCTTTGGCTGGGGCGATGAGTTGCTGCCTAAATGGTGTGGGTCCTCACCTTCAAAGCTCGTATTATGTAACTAGGGAGGCATATTTGAAAGCCTCTGTGTGCTCCAGGCAGGGCGCATTTTACGCATAATCACAAATGAGCTGGAGGCAGGGCCTATGCAGAAATCACTCGCGTTCTCAAAGTGTGCCAAAGCCCAGGTCGTTGGCTTTAGGGACCGTTTTAAGGATGTGCTTATCATCTGGATTTTGAGGGATCAGGTTGTGGAGTGATGAAGTTACAGGCATTGGCTGGTGTGTCTGGTTATTTCTCAGCCCCATCCCAAAGCCCTCAGCTCCTCCTGGATATGAGGGATACTGTGTGCAGATCAGACGTTAGTTCTTGCTGTGCAACAGAATCCATTTAGTTAGTTTCTGCTTTGGCATATGAAAAGCTATCTCAGTGGTGAAAAGCAGCTTTAGGTGTTCCTTCCTGTTGTTTTTCTTCGTATTTCTTGGTGCAGGCTTTGGAATACCTATCGCTTTGATGTCCTTATTATTTTAGTACCTCTCTCACTCTCTCTCTATCCTCCATTTCCAGAGCTTCGCTTGTAGACCAGAGAACTTTTTGCAAAGGAGGGAAGGGTGGGTGAGAAAGCAGTACAGATTTAGAGGCTGGGGAACGTGTCCTGGCCACACACCAGGCCAGCTACACTGAGCAGGTCTGCCTGGGTTTGAGCTGATCAAGGAGTCGGGCTGTGTCAGGGAAGAATGTGTAAACTGTTTACAGTCTGTGCTGTACGCAGTGTAGTCGGTTTCAGACAGGACAGAGGCCAGCTGGCTCCCTGGGCAGGCTTGCTTTTGTGGAATGGGGGGTTCTGTCCGGAGAGGAGGTCTGCTACTCAGCCTCATCAGTTTGCTCCGGGCTGACGAAGCCCACGGGGACTGGCGCTATCTGGAGTACTCAAGGTCGCCGGTGAGCTCATATTCCAGTCGGAGGAAGGTCTACTTGGGAATAGTCAGACTCTTCATTACACAATTCTTTGATGGGTGAAGAGGAGAAATTGAAGTGGTTGATCATCATGCCTGGGGCTCCAGGGCCACAGAAACCCCCACCACTTGGCCTCCAGAGCTCAAATCTGTTTGCGACACCGTTATCCATCAGTAGGAAAATGGGCAGAGAAGTTTTTCAAAGTCCAATGTGGTTTTCTTAACCACCACTCTGCACGTGGGTTCCTCCTCCTCCTCTTCGTCTGAACAATCAGGATGACTCTGGGTGAAAGATTAGCTGATTGGTCGTCCTCTGCGCACACACGTTGTGAAAGAGAGGGGTGCTGTAGAATTGCTGGAGAACAGGCCCCGGGGAAATAGGCGGGAAACTGGACGTGTACAGAGCCCTCATCCCCAGCACCCCCAACTCCAGCTCCTTCCCCTCTTCACTGCTCCCCCACTGTGACGTCAAAAACGAAGGATGATCAGGTGCTAACTGCAGTCTGGCCTGGTTGCAGCCTTCTCTGGTTGCAGTCAAGGGGGACCCTGTCTGTCTTTGGGGGTTGATAAATAGGACAGCATGAAAAGTCGCTTAGCCAGCCAAAGGGTTCTTCCACAGTGAATCTGAGGCTCAAACACAAGTGAACAAACTAGCGGACTTGTATCTTCATCTCCTTGGTTACCATGTGGGAAAGTCCGTTCTTCCAGCTGGCTTTTTAAACAGACCGCAAAGGCGCAGTCTGCACAACACGGGTGTCTGGTTTGTTTCCTAGTTGTGTGGTTGGTTCATGTTTTAGCACGGATGCTACCCAAATATCACAGTTCGTTAGAGAAGACCCTTCCTTATCAGCTTTACATATTTCCCATTGTGAAATTCAGGTGACAGGGTTGAGATGTTTTATTTGGTTATCATTTTCCCTGTAACCCTTTATGCTCATAACTTTCAGTGGACAGAGAAGATACCTATTTATTTCTCTTTATTTAGGCTGTCATGGAGTCAATTTCTTAATTAGTTTTTCCAAAATATGAATAGCTTTCATGGTTTTCTTAATTATGTGAGCAATATAACACGCGTTCTGAAACAAATAAGTTCTTAGTAATGGTTTTCGCAGGATAATGAAAATGCTGCATGTAGAATGATATTGCCCTGTTAGTTCTTTGCCTCAATAACCCTGGAGGCGTGTGTAACCATGGAGATGTAGTGAACTAGAAGGAGCAAGGACAGCGTGGGCTTTTTACGGGTGTGACTCCGCCGACTGTCCCGGCAGTCCTGCCGGGGACTGTTGCTGTTTCTACTGTACAGATGAGAAAACTGAAGCTCAGGAAAGAGAAGCAACTTGTCCAGAATCATTCGGCAGGTGGAAGCGTGGGATTCGAACCCACCTCCTCTGACTCCTGAATCCGTCCTGAATTTGCCCTCTGCTCGGACTCTGAGAGGAGGAACACTGGCCTTTTGATTCAGGAAATTTGGGTTCCACACCTGCACTGCTCAGCAGTTGTTCGTGGAAACTTGGGCAGTTCCCCGACCCTGGCATCTTCATCTGTGAAATGAGGGGACTGGCCAGGAAGATTTCTCAGGTCTCACAGGGCTGTGTGTGTGTATATTTTTTTAATTTGCTGGAGAGAACATGTCCCAACTGAACAACTTAATTCCTCAATTTAACACTCTGTTTTTACGGTCAGAAAATATAGGGCTAGAAAATACACTCCTCTCTTTGCACAGGTGACCCTGTTCCCTTAAAAATGAAAAAGCCACCCTGCGTGAAAAGAGCCATCGGTTTCCTCTGCTTGTGTCGCTCACTGACCCTGAGCTCAGGGTGACCATCCAGAGCCACAGGCGCCGAGGACACCTGGGCCGGAGCCGTGGCGCTTTCCTAACTCCTCATCTGTTCGTCTCTTCTCCATCCCTCTTGCAGAGACCGGATGCTAATGTTTGAAGAGCTTTCAGATATCTTCTCGGACCATAACAACCACCTGACCAGCCGGGAGCTACTGATGAAGGTGAGGCCCTGGGGGCGGTGTGGCTAGCTCTCCTGGCCGCCCCGGATGCATGCAAGGGAACGGGGGCCTGCGGAGGCTCCTGCAGCCCCACCAGAAAGTCTGAAGTGACCAGAAGGCAGGCGTTTTGTTTTCTTACCTCCCGATTTAAGAAGCTGGGGGCGAGGGAACTCCAGGTCCAGCTCCTCGGCCTCACTGTTACGCAACCGGATTGTGAAACCCTCACTGCTGCGTGTCCCTCTTGAGTGAGCTGCTCCGCAAACACCGAGTGGTGGTAGTGAGGAGGGCGAGGGGCCCTGGAATATTTCTTCTCAGCAAAACATCTTCTAGGGTGACAGAGGCCGAGCCAGCAATTCCACATCCTTTATTTGGACAGAGTTGCACAATCTGTCAGTCAGCAGTCTTTATTGAACGCCAAATGAGTGCTGACTTCTGAACTACAGGAAAGGAGTAGTGTGGTTCGTGTTACTGCTCTGGACATTGGTTGTGTACCGAACACGTGTAAAGTGTCAGACCAGCCTCTAGGAATAGGCAGATGGCTGAGGTAGATCCTGTGTTCAGGGGTTCCCCGTCTAGTTGGTGGACAAAGACACTGCGTGAGAATAAGTCAGAGCAGTGAAAGGTGCACATAACAGGCTGCGAGCAGATACTGTCTTCACGACATTTCTATAAAGGAGATTTCATTATCCTCATTTTGCAAGTAGCTGAGACTCAGGTAAGGAACGTGCCCGTGGCCACATACCTGGTAGGTGGTGGAGCTAGAATGTGGATACAGCCTGATGAGACTGTAAAACCTGCGCTTTTATCACTTAGGCATGGAAGTGTTTCTTCTGACCTCTTGGGAGGAGGAGCCAGGGGAGATCAGGCACAGCTTCACAGAGAAGGAACATCAGTAGCTCAGCCAATATCATTGAGCATTCGTTATGTAATAGGCGTTGGAGGAAAAACCATATCGCAGGCAGCTTCTGCCGTTAAGGGGATTACAGTCTCGTGGGGGAGGGAGAGAAGCGGACACTCATAAAATAGCAGGAGATGTGCCCCCACAGGGGGGAGCCTCAACTGGACAATCAGAAGACGGGATCCTTGTCCTCCGTCTCCTCTTCTGTAAATTGGAGACAAGAATGGCATTTAGTCAACTGACCTCAGAGAAGAGTTTTCAAGATTGACTAAGATAAAATATTTGAAAGCACTATGCAAATGTAAGTTATTTTTAGCATTTGGCAAGCCACACACGTGTGAAACCAAAGTATGCATAACAAATGAAAATGAATGGAGTACAAGCTGCGTGTGTAAACTTAGGGCAGACACTTGGAGTGGAGGAGGGTGACTCAGAGAAGGCGCCCCGTGGGTAACCGTTAGATTAGTGCTTCCTCTAAGGGCATCTGTTCCAGTCTCCCTAACTGTTCTCCTTCTAAGTCCTGCTCATCCTTCGTGCTTCCCTGTAGACTGTCCTTCCGTGTAGGAAACCTTCCTGGGTACCCTTGGTCTGATTAGGTTCCTCGCATGTACTCCAGAGGAAGCCCGTCATCGCTCTGACCTTGCACTTCCCTGCGCTCCGTTGGGATCGCCTGTGTATTTCACAGGTCTCTCGACTGGCCTGTAAGCCTCTTCCAGGCAGGGACCAGGTTTGCCTTTCTCAGTGGCACATCCCTAATGCCTAACGCAGTGCCCGGTGTGCAGCGAGGACAGTTCAGAGACAGTGTTCGACCACAGGCATGGACGGGCCTTGTAATCCATGTGACTTGAACAGCGCGCCCGCTGCCAGCCCTTCTCGGAGAAGACGGCGTGAGCAGGGCAGTGCGCGCTGAAGTCTGACTCTGGGTTTGGCCAGGCCGCTTCACGACACACTAACCAGTGACGGCTGAGGCCGCATTCCTGCGCCCTGCCTCACATCCCCCCGGGGTCTGCAGACTTGAAGTGGAGACCCATCTGCAGGCTGGAAGGAGATGACTGCGCGGCCTCCCTGTCAGCGATACGAAGCGAGACTCACTGGAGCCGCACGCCCGCGTCGCAGCAGGTCTGAGTCACCCCTGCAGAGGAGATAAACTGAAGACTGCACAGCTCACTGCCTGGTGACGGTCTGGCTGAAACCTCAGGAACAAAGCCATATCCAGGCATTGAAGATCCCATAAACCTTTCCTAACAGTTGTAGTTTACCCCAGGGCTCCAAGTTAAATTTCTTCTGTATGGCCCAGATCCCAAAGAAATGGAAAACTTGGCCAGGAATGCACGGAGCCTGTGCATTGTCATGAGTGATAGTGGAATGTTGGGGGCGTGCGTGTGGACACGTGGGTCCTTCCGGTCATCTTTGTTGATCATTCTTTAACATGAGATACATAATTCAGGGTGTTGATTCTCAGCACAATTGTAAAAAAGCGGAATCAAGGTAATCAGGTTCTCAGGAGAACCCCTGCAAAGCTGCTGGCCTCTGTGTCTAATGCGCCACTCCTAGATTTGTCTGGTTTATGGTTGGATATCGGAGTCGTTTTGTTTTTGGATAATCTTAGTCTTAAATGGTCTCTCTTCTCTCCTGCTTCTGGGTAGGTGTAATGAGCCAACTCTGTCATATTATGACTGAGGGAACATAATGGTTGGCAAGAATCTATAGTTTTCCTCTTGTTGGAAAATTGTTTTTATTTTTCTTAAAGATTATCTTAAACTGGTTACCTCTATCTGATTTCTGGAACTTAGATCATTCTAAGCAGGTGCATTATGGAATCCACAAATTTCAAAACAACAGGGAAGCAGAACCCCACTATATTTCCTTGGTCCCTGGGACTCCTGGTGAGAATTCTTCCGGGTTAAATTGATTCGGACAGCTTCTAGGAAGGCCCAGGAATTTGGCTCTGGTACAGATGTGTTATTGTTCCGTGAACCTCCAAGCACACTAAGGTCAGAGCGGGAGCAGGAGACTGGGAAGACCTATTCAGATAATTACCATTAGCTTCTGAGCTGCAATTCAACCTACGCCCATGGAGGAGGACCCACTGCCTGGGTAGCACCTAGGAGAAGATGGCCCCTGAGGCCCAGGAACAGGATGGGCGAGGGCAACTGAACTCTTCTGAAGACGGAAAGAGAAGGTGAGACTCTGGCAGGACTTCTGCGCTAGGGAGCGGGAGGGATGAGTGGGAGGCAGTGGGAAATTCGTGAAGGGAGAGCTCTGGAATCCATCCAAGCACAGGTGGTGATTAAGGCCTTGGGCCTGGATAGTATTTGCAAAGACATGAGTTTAGCAAAAAACAAGACGACTTTGGCAGAAAGAAGAACCACTAAGGAGGTGCGAGCAGGAGCAGCAAAGAGGCAGGAGGAAAGCGCCGGAGTGACGCGGTCGCTAAACCTATAAAAAGCCTCGAGAAGCTTCGAGGGACTGGTGTTGTGGGACGTTGCCAAGCAGAGGAGTCAGGGCTGGGGAAGAGAGGAGCTGGGACTGCTGGGTTTGGCGGGCAGTGGTTTTTTCAGCTGACACCTCACTTGGAAGAACCGCGTTAGCTGGCTCTCCGGCCGAAACCCTGAGGTCACGACATCAGCTCGTCCTTTAGCTCCCTGTCTCAGGTCCTCGGCTCTCCACCAGTGAGGGAGTTGTCCTAAGCGTTCTTTTAAGGTCCCTCCCATCTCTGTTTTTCTGTGATCATCAGGGGCCTTTTAACTTTTCCGAAATCCTTGGTAAGAACTTCAGGCGCACCGCAATAATCCCTGTGCATAATCCCTCTGCCACCGACGGAGACAGTGGAGGGTGCCGGAAAGACCTGCACGCTGGGAGGGGTGGCCGCTCTTAGTGGAGTCAGCATCCATCTCTCACCCCGAGAAGATTCTCAAGAATTTGGGTGGACTCACACCCTCCTAGCACAGGAAGTGGCACATTTTCGGCCACTTTCATTCATCCCCAGGAAAAACTTGAAGTAGGAGATTATTAAATGACAGTGCTCCTGATGATCGATTGCCATAGGGAGAACTAAAGTGGGTAGTTAAGTCCCTGTGGGTTCTGTCCCCAGAGGTGTTCCTGGACCTGGGATGAGGCTGGCGAGTGACGGGAGATGATGGACACCTCCCTGCCATCAGAAAGGCCCTGTCACTGACCAAGAGCCCGGTGCAGCCGGACGGCAGCGAGAAGTCACATGCTCTGGAAATAGAATAAACCCAGGGAAACTGACTAAGGGAAAACTGATGTGCACGTTGCACGCTACTGAACTGTGAAATGTGTCTCCCATTCATACGGTTCCTGGAAAATGTGACCTTCGCAAGACTGAAACCACAAGGCGGAAAAAAGCACTTCGTGTTCAGTCAGCAAACTCGACATTAGTCATTATGCAGGGGAGCTGAAAAGAGTCGGCTGTTACAGCAGACCGGAGGGAGGAGGCAGAGGACGGCCGTCTGCCCTCGGGCGCCCGGAGGAGGCCTCGGTTTGTAAGCTCCTGAACCCGGGAGGCGGCTCGAGAGGCCTGACTGGGCGAGGAAAAGGGCAGGGGGGGAATGTGTGCAGGTCTGCCTCTCGTGGATTCGTGCGGTACCCGGCGCTGGGCTTCCTCAGAGAGCTTCCTGTACAGAAGTTTCGTTTAGCTAAGAAATACCACAGAAATAGCCCCTTTTCGCAGAACGCTGGCACGTGCACTTCGGGCCAAGATCAAGAAATCACAAAACAGAGAGAGGAACGGATCTCCGTTTCCAGGATGCGTGATGACTCTGAGTGGGATTTGGGGTGTGCAGAAATGGTCCCCGCTTCTAGGAATTGCCTGCCTTGTGAGGACGGTTGATTTTATAACCCAACCGAAGCTGTCCTTAGAGATGAGGGGGAAACGGGACAACCCAAGGCCGTCAGGTTTCGTTACAAACAGGCCACTGGCGACCAGCCAGAGGGGCCTTGTGCGGCTCTGCCCAGGCTGCGGGCCCCTTCGTTTCTCCTGGCGTCCAGACAGGTGGGGTGGGCAGAGGGTCCGGCCCGGAACGAGACGTCACGGCACTTCCTCCTGGTGTCGCCCTTCTCCATCCCCATCTCCACGTGTGTTTCTCTTTCAGGAAGGAACCTCGAAATTTGCAAACCTGGACAGCAGTGTCAAAGAGAACCAGAAGCGGACTCAGAGGCGGCTTCAGCTCCAGAAGGACATGGTATGCGCAGGCGCCGTTCTCCCCTGACACCCGCGGCGGGAGAGCGTCCTCGGAGGGGCACCTTCAGTCTGCAGGGCGTCCACACCTCCCTGCAGGTCCTCTGCTCTCCCCCAACCTCGCCTGTTCTCAGTTCTCAGTCGCCCGGGGCGGGGGGGGGGGGGGGCTGTAGGAGAGGTGTTATTACTCCCATTTGACCCAGCAGGAAGGGACCGCTAAAATCACACCCCACGGTGTTCTCGGGAGGTACCTGTTCTGGAGGTGAGGGAGAGTCTGCAGCTGGTGGACATCCGTCCCTCTTGCTGGCTGCCTCCATCCACTCCTGCACTTCGGAGCCGCTGCTCCCTTGGCCTGGAGGCCTCCTGGGCCTCAGTTCCCTGTGGCAATGCATTGCTGCCGTCGGTTTTGCACACTGTAGCCCAGGGGGCCCAGGACGGGGTGCTGAAGAAAGAGTGTGTGCTTCCCGGACGACTGGGGCTGTGTTCCTGGAGGTCTCGGTGGTCCCACCCCCCAGGCATCTTGCAGCTCTCCTCACTAACCCCGAGGACAGACCAAGTCCTTCTGGTTTTTCAGGGCCCAGGAATGTCACATCTCCCTCCTCCAGGCTGAAGGAGAGTTCTTATCATCTTGAGCTTTATTGGAGAAGCGTTCCTAACTTTGAGCCCCGAGGGGGGGAAACCCGAGAGGGGAGACCGGAGACTGACTGACTCCCCACGTTTTCGTCCTGCTCAGAGAGCTGGACCTGAGTCAGGGGTGTTCTTGGAGGATGGGCCTGTCCTCTGTGACCTAGAGCCTATAAAAAACTCCCAGCTTTTAGACTCTCTCAGTTGTTCAAAGACAAGTTAAAAATAGCTTTTAAAAAAAAGAAGATTATTTTGGTTCGGGACGAGACCCGGTGTGCCTGATGGGGAAGGAGTCACTGCAGCTGACAGCGAGCTCCTGAAGGACACGGCCCTCCGAGGGGTGAGCTCACGGAGCAGGTTTGGCTGAGGACACGGCCAGCCGCACCGCGGCAGCCCGGCCTGGCCTCGGCCGAGACTCTCCTTTCCTTCCAGAATTTCCCTAAGTGCCTCCGTGGACTTTGGGATAAGGTGACCGTGGAAATGCCCTTTCGTTTTTCTTTTCAACGCAGTTAGGGCCTTGGTGGCCTTTTGGAGAACAGAGATGATTTTAAAGGAAATTTGGTGAAATCGATATGGTATAGACCTGCAGTTAAGTATTTCTACTTTGAGTTCCAAGGGCCAATGAAAAAACATAAGCTTTTTGATATTGGAACTGACAGATAGGTCCCAGAGCTTCCGTGAGCTTCCGTGAACCCCTGCCTCGCCCAGTTCCCCGGTGGACGTCTCCCGTGACCGTGGCACATCCGTCACCGCGAAGACACGACACTGGCGGGCCACTGCTGCCCGGAACCCGGGCTTCCTGCGCCGCGCGGCACTTGTCCGTTAGCGTCCTCTTTCCTCGCGGGCGCCAGCCCACGTGCCACACTCGTTCACTTGTCATGTCCCCCGTCTTCTCCGGCCTGTGCCCGTGTCTCCGTCTTCCCCTGGTCTTCATGACCTTGGCCATCCTGAGAATGCCCCGCAATCAGGGCGAATCTGTGATGTTCCTGGTCATTAGACCGAACGGCGGGTTTGGGGGAGACTGTCCCGGGGTGAGTGCCATTCTCACCACGTCCTGTTGAGGGGCGGATGCTGTCAGCGTGACACCCAGTGTCACTCGGGGTGTTACCCTTCATCGCTCGATCAAGATAGAGTTTGCCAGGCTTCCCACTCTAAAACCACGATCTCCCCCCTCCCTCCTCTGTTCTTTGGAAGTGAGTCACGAAGTCCAGGCCATGGGGCTCCTGTCACAGTGACGTCTTGTCCCCGTGTGGTCCGCAGCACTCTTCTCCAGTGTGCGGTGGCCCTCGCCCTCCCCGATGGCCGTTCCAAACCACCCGCTGTGTCTTCTCGCACTGACAGAGAACAGGCGTCTCACACCCGAGCTGACACAGTATAAGCCCCCTGTGACCACTCGTGACTGTTGTCTGATTTCCCGGCTTTGGGGCTTGGTTTTCAAGACCTTGAAAGTCAGATGTTACATGATGGAGTTCTTGTGCTATTTGTGTAGGGATTTTCAAACTTTTATTCATGGATTAGCAGTAATGGCCCCACATGAGGCCTCGAATGGTCCTTAGTTAATCTCCCAACCTGGCCATTCGAGGATCGCGGCTTCCAAGTGCTCATGGGCACGCTGCTGCCCGTAGCCCGCGGCTGGCCGGTGTGCTCCAGCGGGGAGGTGTTCGAAGCCCCAGGCGTGGCAGTAACAACCAGGACGGTTTTGCTATGCTTGCTCCTCAGGGCGTGATGCAGGGCACCGTGCCCTACCTGGGCACCTTCCTGACCGACCTGACCATGCTGGACACCGCTCTTCAGGACTACATCGAGGTGAGTGCCATGCAGGTGGCAAAAGCGGGCCCGTGGCCTTCTGAGTGGGTGCCCAGGAGAGAAATTCACTTTTCTGAGTACCTGCCGTGGGCTCATCGTGTACGAGGCACTGTGCTGGCCGCCCCGAGGAGCACCGAGGTGAGTCACGCCAGCAGTGGCTCACGGCCCCGGGGAAGGCAGGTAGCGGAGCAGGCAGTGGCTGCTAGAACTCTTCAGGATTCGAACACAAATGCTGTGACGGAGAGGGCAGGTCATGCTTAGTTCCACATGAGGGATGAGATGGTAGGACCTTATGAAGGAGCCGGTTTGAGCATGACCTTGATGTTGAGTTGGATGTGGGGAGGTGGTAATGTGCCCTAACATTCCATTCTGTCTGGTGGGGTAAGGAGTTGGTCAAGTTTGTAGGTTTTTAAGTTTTCCATTTTTTTTCATATTTTCTGCTCTGAGGCACCCATGCTTGGGCAGGTGCGCTCTCTCTTAACGGGAAAAGAGGTGAATCAAACAAGCTACTTGTTAGTAACAGTAATAACATATTGAGTGGGGAATAAATTGGATATTGGAAATGAGACTTAGGGATTGCTCGTGTAGATTTAAGTTAATCTCGCCTCTGCGGTTATCACGCGCTCAGCCCTTGTGATGAGGAGGAGGAGCACGATGGTGGCCGTACGTACCTCCAAGTTCATTGTGATGTGGACACGCTCCTTCGTGCCGTATCTCCTGAACCCGAAGTCTCCTCACATCCTCTACCTCCGCGTGTCTCAGGAAACACTCCCTGGTGTTGGGAGTTTGCGGGGAGAGGCCAATGACTTAGGAGTTAAACTCGGCCACCGAGAACAGGGGCTGGGGGATGAAGAATTGAAACTCAACTTTGCACAAGGCCGCGTAGAAGAGACTTCCCTTTTGATAAACCATTGACAACGTGGTTCCCAGTATGAGTCAGGGACCATCTGTTCTTGTTGCTTTTGGTCAAGGAAAAAAGCGTAATGGAACATTTACTCAAGCTCTTGCCTTTCCTGGTTCTGCAAATGTATTTGGATTCTGAGTTGTAACTCCTTAATCATTACTATTTTCGCGGTTTCCAGACACATTTTAAGAGAAGCCTGTTTGCCTACCCTGTCCTTTTGTTATTAAAAGAATGTTTGTCTTGAGGCAAACAATGCTTCTCTTCCTCCACAGTAGCCATAAGTAGAGTGTTATTAATAATTATGACTTGGTTGATTTTAACAACCAGGCCTTGGCTGTGTTTCAAAGTAGTTTGGTTTGTCACTCTTCTTCTTTTTTTTAATTTCTTTCAGGGTGGGCTGATAAACTTTGAGAAAAGGAGAAGGGTAAGTAGAGATCTTGTGGACATAAGCTTTTGTGTTTATTTTTATAGAGGCAGAAAAAATGAATTAGCATTTACCAAACATTTGCCATACACCACTGAGCTTGGCATGTTCCCTATATTACCCCCCAAGACCCTGGGAGGTCGATGTTTTCATCCCCAGGTCAAAGGTAAGGGAACCATGACCGAGAGAGATGAAGTCGCTTGAGCAGAGTCACCTGGTAGCAGAGCCAGGGTTCAAATCCTGTCCAGCCCCTGAAAAGCTGACATTTCTTTCCTCATCCCCTCCTGCTCTCCTTCTTTGCAATTAGCTTCAGTAATTCATCCTGTTAAAGAGAAGGGGTTTCATAAGAATAAATGACAAAGAACAGTTCACAGATGGTTAACTCGTGTGGGTCTGTTTAAGACAGGGAAGGAAAGGGTCTTCATTGTTGTATGTGGATAATCACTCTTTTTCTTTCCTGTCAGCAGGAAAGGGTGTCCGGCATAAATTTTAATTCTCTTTGTGGACAGTAGAATAGTTCTTCATTGCACTAAAAAAAGATAAAACAGAGAGCTTTGAGAATTTGCTATGGCTACAGTGTTAGCATGGTGTATTGAAATAGATATTTTAAAGACCCAAAGGAAGATGAGTGCGAAAAATAGTAACTTCACCCCAGAGTACCCTTATTATTCTTCAGTCTTTCACTCATTCTTTTACCCCACAAATACCAATCGCACACCTAATGTGGGTCAGAATACACCTAACTATGGTAGGTTTGGGTACGGCAGCAGAAAGAAAACAGAACCAAAACAGAGCTCCTCGCCTCATAAAGTTCCCAGTCCAGGAGGAAGGTGGACACATGAGTAGGCAATTTTAATGCCACCTGATCAAGGGCTGTGAGCAGGAGTAGTGGGTACTAGAGGGGCATGAAGGAGGGGCATAGATCCCCAACTTGTGGGGTCAGAGAAATGTTCGAAAGAAAATGACCCTGGAGTTCAAGCCAGAATTTCAGGAACTAAGCAGGCTGAGCTCACTAGTGACAAGATCTACTCACCGAGACAGATGTCAGTCTCCTGTCCTCCGTAGAGCATACTCGCCTCTGTCGCCTGATGATACAATTTCCTCGAGGATACTGAGCCCAAGGACTGAGGCCATTGATAGGATGTTGACACCAGGGGATCTTCCAGTCGCTGAGCTACTTCTGTCACGTCCTGTAATGAGAGAACAAGTTGTGATTGCCTCCACAGTTACTCACCTTTGTCCTTTAACTTCAGAATGACCCTGGACTGTAATCTCTTTCCTCTTAAGTCTAGCATGTGAAAACTCTTGAGAAAGTCTGAGTGTAAAATCTAAGGCTAAGGCTTATACCCATTGCTTACTCCAAAATAAAAATCTTTATTGATGCATCCAAAGAAGTATAAATAATTTCAGACAAAATTATATGCTTGCTTCTCTTGTGAGCTTTAAAAGACTTAGTTAAATGATGTACTGGAGTAGAAACAACCCAAGGATTCGGGAAATCTAAACACTCACGTTTATGAGGCCCAGAAATGTTTAGATACTCAGCCATACCGAGGTGCACCTGTTGAGGAGAGAGGGTTGGAGAAGATGGGTGGGGGAACTTGGAAACTTCTGGACTTAATTTTTTTTTAATCTTTTAGGCCATGGAAATAGAAAATTTAAAGACATTTTGGAAGTATTGAATTTAAAAATAAACTTTTCTATCCTTAGAATAAAAATGGAAAAGAAAAAAAGAAATTTGCTATGCCTTTAGGCAGTAGTTAGTTTGAGTTGCTTTGGTAGCCAGTTTTATTCACATACATTGCCTTATTGAGGGGGACAGGGGGTCAGAGAAACGTTTGGAAGAAAATGACCTTGGAGTTCAAGCCAGAATTTTAGGAGCTAAGCAGGCTGAGTTCACTAGTGACAAGATCTACTCACCGAGACAGATGTTAGTCTCCTGTCCTCCATAGAGGGATTGACAATTAAAGCGTACAAGGACTTGGGAGACTGTGAGTTGGAGTTTTTAAGAGTTGTTCAGCTACTTTATTTCTAAGGAAGGCAGTGCTTTGGAGCCCGCCTCAATGATTTTCTCCGTTGTTTTTCCAAATGTGGCATTTTTCATATTGAAGAAAATAGGTATGGGGTGACTTTGTTATTCATTCTTTCTTTCTGATGTTCTGTCTTCTTCAGGAGTTTGAAGTGATCGCCCAGATAAAGCTCTTACAATCTGCCTGCAACAGCTACTGCATGACCCCAGAGCCCAAGTTCATCCAGTGGTTCCAGAGGCAGCAGCTCCTGACAGAGGAGGAGAGGTAGGTGGACGCACTGCCCACTGAGGCGGGGCTGCGGTGTCGCAAGGAGAATAGGGTGTCCAGTTCCTCGTGTGACCGTTCACTCACCAGCTGTTTAGTGTGCAGCTGGAGGTTCCGGATGTCCGGTTTCCGAAGGATAGTGGTGTAGCAGGAAAAGCTGAATTGATGGCATCAGCAGATGTGCTTTCAGATTCTTGCTCTACATTTACTTATTTTTGTAACCTAAAGAAGCCACTTATTCTTCCTGACCTTTAGGGTGTGCTTCTATGGGATACCTATTTGTGAGGATTGAATGGAATATTGGGGAAAACATTGTTAAAGTGCTTATCATATCATCAGCACCTCGACTTCTACCACCACCACCACCACCACCACTTCCATCACCTCCACCACCACCACCACTTTCATAACCTTTACCTCTACCACCTCCACCTCCGCCACCTCCACCACAACCACTACTACCACCTCCACCTCCTTCATCATCATCTCCACAACCACCTCTTCCACCATCACCTCCACCACCATCACTATCATAACCTTGACCTCCACCTCCATCACCTCCACCTCCACCACCACCACTGCCACCACCGTCATCACCATGTTTGTTGCTGTTGTTAACTGGTGGTAGCTTTTAATCATAGAAGGGAACCAGGTTCATGAAGAATTGAAATAAAATGCTGCAGGACCTTGGGGCAAAAACCATTCATCTGACCAAGGATGGGTGGAAATAGGGAAGATAGTCATAAAGTGCTAACATTTGGGCGGGGCTGGGAAGCAGAGAGAAGGTTGCTCCAGGAGAACGGGAGACGAACATTCCAGACAGAGGGAATAATATGACCAAAGGCTTGGTGGCCTGGCACGCTTGGCATTTGGAGGACCAGTGAGGACTCTGGTGTGGCTGGAACACAGGAGGCAGGTTTCACAGTAGTGGTGGACGAGCGTGGACAGGAATATCACCTCTAGTGTCTGAGTGTCGGCCCAGCGGTGGTGTCTTTACCGTGCAGGACTCGAGTCTGCAGGCCATATCCAGCACGCTGCAGGGAAGAGTCATTTGAAATTCAAATTTCATTATCCATAAATAAAGCTCTATTGGAACCCAGCCCATCCGTTCACATCTATTTATGGCTGCTTTCATGCTGTACAGGCAGAGCTGAGCAGTTGCTACAGAGAGCTCGCAGCCTGCAAAGCCTAAACTGCTTACTGCCTGGTCCTTCATGGAGAATATTCGCTGGCCCCCCCGCTGTAGACCAAGGGGTTTCCGTGAGTGCTTTACCAGGGACAGCAGAATCGACAGCACGTTAAGTGTTTTGCCAGTGAGGGAATGGGGTCTAGAGAAGTACTGTAACTAATCAGCGACAGTGAGGGAGTCTGGACTCACTCTCAGGTCTGCTGACTCTGCAGCCTAAGCTCTGGCGGGGGCTGTCTAATGCTGGGCAAACCATGTAACCTCTGTAGGCCTCAGTTTCCCCACTTGAAAGGTAGGTGATTTCTGAGGTCTTTTTAAATCCCAGAATAGATCAGTCCTGTTACATTAAAACAAAACCTCTGCTTCGCTCAGAGTTCACTTCAGTTGGTGAAGATGTTTTCCCTGCTATGCAGAAAACAAAGTAGTTATGCCTCTTCACATTTTCTGGTCTGACGATCACATGTCAGCTTTATCTCTGTGTCCACCCTTCCCCCACATGGAACATATCACTGGGTCATGGTTTGGATCGAAGTCCAGGCTCAAGGAATCAGCTGTGCGATTGACTTTTTAATGATTGAAGGAATCTTGTTAAACATGTCCTTTTTTTCTTGCAATTTATAAAGATCCCTATAGCTTAAGTTAATATTTGAGTAATTCCCATATCAATGACTTGGTTCTGCCTTCTATTGAACAAATACTTGTACCTGTCTTTAGGTTCAAAAAAATGTACACGTAATTAGCAACTAACCAAGCTAATTACCACACTTACCCTTCCTCACCCACCCAGGACCAAATGCACCTTCTAGCTGGAGTTCAGGTTTTCACAAAAGACATTTCAGGTCGGATACCAGCTCCTCCTGTGTTTATGGGGCTTCTGTCTCCCTGGCAAGGGGGGTGTCTGAACCTGGAGCACTTTTAATTTAAGAGGTTTTGGCAATTAAAAACCATATTGATGTATCTTTATCAGTAATGTAACTGCTTCTGTTCGCTGAAGATTAGGTCGTTTACAAAAGTCTCTTCTTTCAAAGAAACTTAGAGGAAAAATAGTTAAGTACGTACGCGCGCGTGCACACACACACACACACACACACACACACACACAGCAATGGGAGGGAGACAGTGGAGAAGAGATAGTTCTTCCCGACTTAGCAGTGGGGTGAGCGTGGTCAGGAAAGAGATCGGCATCAGACTTCGATGTTGCCACAAAACACAAATCCACGGTTCGAGGCAGGCGGAGCTCATCAGCCTCAGTCTGTGTGCTGGTACGGGGGTGCGGGGCGGAGGCACACATGCAAATTTGTAAGATCTGGCCACTAAGTCAGTGCTCTCTGACATGGGTGATAGAACAACCTAATACGTGTCTTCACTTTGAATAATCAGGACCTTCCTCTAAAATAAAACCAGCAGATCACGTGGATGTAAGTCTGTTCTTCACCTGCTCCGCTCTCCCGCGCCCCCTTCTCTCCCCAGCTACGCCCTGTCCTGTGAGATCGAAGCAGCACCCGACGCCAGCGCCACCTCGCCCAAGCCTCGCAAGAGCATGGTGAAGAGGCTCAGCCTGTGAGTGTCCCTCCGGGACCCCGGGGGCCTCTGGGGGTCCGGTCAGAGTTGGGGAGAGGAAGTGTATTCAACACGGTCCCCCTGAGCCAGGGGAAAAGTGCAGGACAGTTCTCTCACTTGTTAAAGAGCTCCTCTCTTTGTCAGGAAAGTCCATTCGCTCTTCCCCACTGCGGGGTCTGGCGTGAACCACCATCACTCTTGCCGAGAGCAGTCTAGCAGCACCTGTCCTAGCTTCCGGCCTACGCCTCTCCCAACAGTCCATTCTCCACCCGAGTCTGGTGGCCTCGTGAAATGTACACCGGCCTGTATCACTTCCTTGCTGAAAAGCTCCAATGGTTTTATTTTAAGATAGAGCCTGAACTCCTTATCCTAGTTTACTAGGCCCTGCACCGTCTTCCCCAGCCTTCCCGACCACGGTCCCCTCACCCATCACTCCGCCTGTTCACTGTCTCCCCGCCACCCCGCAGCCACAGCAGGCTCACTCGGGGCCGTTGTGGTAGCTGTTCCTTTGGCCTCGCATGCCCGTGCTCCATGGTCAACATCGGCAAAATGTCACCTCGTGAGACAGCACCCCTCCAACCAGCTGTCCACCCCAATCACTGCCAATCACACTGGCTCTTTCTCCCACGGATGTCAGCCACCTGAAAGAGGGACCTTGCCCCTCGTGTTCGTGGCTGTCTGCTCAGCTCAGTGCCAGGCAGAGGAGAGGCCCTCTGGGGCCCTCTTCCTATACCTGTCTCCTCTTTTTTTTTAAAGATTTTATTTATTTATTTTTAGAGAGGGAAGGGAGGGAGAGAGAGAGAGAGAAACATCAATGTGCGGTTGCTGGGGGTCATGGCCTGCAACCCAGGCATGTGCTCTGACTGGGAATTGAACCTGCGACACTTTGGTTCGCAGCCCGCTCTCAATCCACTGAGCTATGCCAGCCAGGGTGTCTCCCCTTGAATAAGACCCGGAGTCCCGGCAGTGGTCCTCAGGAGGCTTCAGGGTCCGCAGCACCTCCCCAGCCCCGACCCCTGCCCCGTACTGTCTCTCCTCCTCTGTCCTGCTCGCTCCACTCCTCATCCTCCAGCTGCCCAGACCTCCCTCTCCTTTGAGGATACACACCTGTGTCTCGTCTTTTCAGTGACACACCGGTTGTGGCCAGGGAAAAGCACGGGCAGTGACTGGATATCAGCCAGTTTTTTCATGGCGGAGTGGGCTTGGGAGCCACACTCAGCTGACACATGTCCGCCCGCCCAGTTACTTACCGTGTGAATTTCTCTTCCGTGGTTTGTGAGACGAGGGTAATCATGACCCCCTCGGTGGGCTGCTGCCAGCACCAGCGGGGTCGTAACACCCCAAATAGCACCTCGCTCTCCATGGAAAGCTACCTCTATTGTTTATGGAACAACTTTCTGTTAGCACTTTTTGAATCTGTTGTTCGTTTGTTTTTTTCAGGGGGAGGGTCAGGATTTTGAGTGTTTCTATGAGTTTTTGGTACTCCCTGCACTGTCTCTCCACCTAGCTCAGCGAGTTGCTCTAAGGCAGGGATGGCACGTGAACTTGGGTACTGCCATTTCCCCAGTGGAGCACACAGAGGCCCTTTCGGGGCGTGGACGGTGTGGCCTCCCACTCTCAGAAGCTGCTCAGGCTTCTTCCTTCCTGATGTCTACGGGGTGACGTGAGGCATTTGAGGATAGGTTGGAGCATGTGATTTTATAGAAAGCATTTTTAAGGCAATCCTGATGTCTTGCCCAGCCTCTCTCTCTGCTTCAGTGTCCACCTGGGCCCTCCTGCGTGCTAGCTTTATGAGCCTTTGGCTTCACCTTCATGGAATTTTCCATCATATCTTGCTATTTTTTCATTGCTGCGCTTGTGGGGAAGAAGAAGCTCTCTTTTGTGAAAACCCAAAGCCCTGACCACACCGGGGCCACCGGTCAGGTCAGTTCCTGCACTGGGAGCAGGGCCCCCTGACCAGGGCGTGCAGGGACACAGGGCCTCTCGGTGGGCCTCTCGGCATCACGAAGCACTGGGGGTTTCTGGGCCATCAGAGGCAGCACAGGTAGATCCTGTTGTATGTGCTACCACCTTTGCCCACTTGCTTTTCTTTCCCTGTGCTCAGGTGGTTGGCACTGCACACCTGTCCCTATATAACTGCTCCAACCCAAGTGTCCACATACACGGTGTGGATGCTCTCCCCTCCCTGAATCCCTCGAGTGCACAGCTCTGCGAGGACACCCCCGGGAAGTCCGGGAGAGGCAGGACTGCCAGGGTTCGGAGCCCCATGCAGAGTGCTCCATGCAGGACACTTGACACGCCTCTGTCACTAGTGGAACCTTGTCAAGATGCTTCAGTTCAATCCTTGGTATCTGTGGTTGAGTTTGAACACTGATTTTGAATAAAAGAGGTCAAAAGTCCCCATCTTATTTTTGTATTATACATATAAGGGTGTTTTCATATATTTTCAAAAGACTTTATGACCTTAGCATTTTTACAGATATGGAAAATGTGGTTTTTTGCCCCCGCCACATTCAATGACCCATTTGCTCAGGGAGGCTGGAGAGTAGTATTTGGAGCTCCAGGGGAAGGGGGGCCTTGTTTGAAGGCTGGAGATGCCTAGTATTGAATTAGAATTAACCTTTACAAAGCAGAATGACCTCATTAAATTGCACAGCTGGAAGAACCTTTGGTCTTTGGACAATGTCATTCTAAGCTTCAGACTCAGACGTCAGGCTGAGGGCCTGCACCGGAAGGTCCGCCGTGCAGTCCGTGGAGGCGTGAGACAGCAGCGCTATGTTCCTTCTGTGGGCTGCGATCGGGGTTTAGCCCTTCCTGCCCCTGCCCCGGCCCCAGCCCCCACCCCAGCCCCAGCCCCAGCCCCTGCAGTCCGAGGAAGGAGGTGGCCCGGAAAACGGGGCAGGAGGGGTGGCGAGGAGGCAGGAAAAGCGTGCTCCAGGTCTTGGAATTTGAGCTTGTGATTCCTAAAATACTTAGTACAAATCAAGGTCATCTTTAGTGTTTCTGTTACTGTTATTTTATACGGTCAGTGCTTGTTTGGGGATGTGCCATTCCTTCTTGCTTCCTATTCCTCCTCTCCGTTTACTGCTTCTTCCCACGCTGTCTGTTCGTGGGGGGCACTGTCAGCCTTTGTCTGAGGCAGCATTTTGCCCTCACTCTTGGAATTCTATTGGACGGGTACAGAATTCGAGAATGGCTGTTTTTTCACTCGGCACTTTGAAGGTATTATTCCATGTTTTCTGACTCCTGTGGTTGCTTTTAAGACATCTGAGCCCTGGCTGGCATAGCTCAGTGGATTGAGCGCAGGCTGGGAACCAAAGTGTCCCAGGTTCGATTCCCAGCCAGGGTACATGCCTGGGTTGCAGGCCATAACCCCCAGCAACCGCACATTGATGTTTCTCTCTCTCTCTCTCTATCCCCCTCCCTTCCCTCTCTAAAAATAAATAAATAAAATCTTTAAAAAAATAAAAATAAAAAAAAGACATCTGATAACTGTTTAATTACTGTTCCTTTGTATCATTGCCCCACCCTACTGCTTTGAAGAATTTCTTCTCTCTTTTATATGTTATTACGCAGTTTCAGTGGGGGTTCAGTCTGGTTTATCCCATTACCCTAGATGTGGTCCCTGGCTCTGAGGATGCATGGGGGTTGTTAGTTCTGGAACCTTCGCAGCTCCCCTCTCTCCAGATGTGGTGCCTCCCCCATTCTCCGAGCCGGCGCCTGCAGGAGTCTTCCCGCACACACCCGGGGACTTCTCGCTCTGCTCTCTGTGTCTGTTAACCTGTCTTGTTTCCCGTGTCTCATGTTTGGGTGCTTATTTCCAAGGATTTTCTTCAGATCTATCATCTAGTGCACACTTTTCCTCTTCACCACTTATTTAATCCTTGCACCGAGTCTTTAATTTAAATCACTACATTGTTTTACTCTAGAAGTGAACTTTTTTTCAAATTACATTTGCCAGAGTATCTTGCTCTTAACACCTGTTTTCAACTCCTTTTCTTATATCTTTAATACTTTTAAAATACCCTTATCTTATAGAGTGGTCCATGGTGGACACTCAAATATTTGTCAGGTGAATGAATAAATTATTAGGGGTTTTTTGACAGTTCTTGTATCTGAAGGTCTCAGGAGTCTACACCTGCTGTGTGTTATGCTTGTGGACTCTGTCCTTGGGTAGGATATTTTCTTGTGTGTATTTTATAATTTTGTATTGTGAGCTCATTGTTATCAGGAAATTCTCTGCAGCCTGAGTTGAAGGTTTATTTCTCTAGAAAGGTTTGTTGTTGTTGTTTTTAAAATCTAGTTTCCTCGGAAGTATCACTGGCCTGGAGTTCCTAGACCACGCGGGCAGCAAGTCTGAGCGAGGTGCTGGCTGAGAGCGCACCTGGTTTCCGGAGAGACGTGTTCTCCACCCAGGCCCGTGTGAGGGCAGAGGAGCCTCGCCACTGTCTTCCCGTGCCGACAGGAAGATGCTTTTCTAGCCCGTCTTTTTACTGAGGGTGCAGCCCTCTGAGGGTCCTGGCTCCGTGTAAGGGGTCTCAGTTCCAACCCCCTCCCTTGTGCAGACAGCAGCCCTCAGCTCTGGGGCCTGTGTGTGCGTGTTACCGTCCACGGCCCTGGTTTGCCAGGGTTGGCACCTCCCTCTCCGCATTCAGAGCAGCTGCAGAATTGGCTCACGTGCTTCTGGCTTTCAGTTTTCTTTTCCTTCCTGGCCTGTAGGGGCTTTCCTTATGATCTTGCTCAACTTTAAAAAGATGTTTTCATGTTTCTTATCCAGTTGTTGACAGTGAAGGAACTGCGGTTACTGCAGTTCGGCAGATTGTAGGGAACAGGACCTGCCCCCTTCCGCGCTTTCTCGCCCAGCTCAGTACCAGCCTTCCTCGGCCTCATGGAGCTCGCTTCACAACGCGCTCACTCTCCGATCCTGCCCAAGCAGCCCGCAGACTGCTAGAACACTGGAGAACCCTTGACCTAGAAAGACTTCAGATTAACACGGCCCTTTATTCCGCTAAGCGCCCTGGGTGTTCCTTGAGGTTGGGAATAATCAGTTGGGACAAGATGTTTACTGTGATCTGTTAGACACTTTGTAGCAAATGTTCTCCCAAACTAACAATGACAGGGCACAGGGGACTGAGAAAACATCAAGGATTTAATTAACACCAAAATGCCAGGTCCAGCAGAAGTAAGGCCTGCCTGAGTGTGGTTGGTCAGGTGATAATATGGGTGTGAGGATTTATAGTTTCAATTTGAACATGTCACCTAGAGTGTCATAGGGTGTGGTTGAGTGTGACATTGTTGTGTTACAGAATGACATGCTTACGATTCTGTCATAAACAAGGGGCGTTACCGGACCCGGCATTTGCTCAGTCACGGACTCCGGACTTACAAGGGCCGAACGCCCGGCCTTGTGCTCTCCGCAGGCTGTTCCTGGGGTCGGACGTTATCACCAGTAGCACTCCCGCCAAGGAGCAGCCCAAGTCCGCTGCCAGCGGGAGCTCTGGCGAAAGCATGGACTCCGTCAGCGTGTCGTCCTGCGAGTCGAACCACTCAGAGGCCGAGGAGGGCTCCATCACGCCCATGGACACGCCCGATGAGCCTCAGAAAAAGGTACCCAGTCCCTCCCCCTAATTCCTAACTCAGACTCGGGGATGCGTGCTGTCAAGTTTATCACCGCATGGGGGTCTGGAAGCCACGTGCTCAGGAGGTGTCAGGAGCAGAGTTCTGTCTGGGGACTCGTTCCTCGGAGGTTCAGGTCTGAAGGCCAAGGGCGTGTGGGTCCGTCCCTCCAGCTTCTGCAGTGTCGCTGCGCACGCACACCCAGAGGCGGCTGAAGGAGTATAACCTGTACTTTGCTGCACTTTGTCCAGGAGATGGAGGATTTTCTTCAAAGGAGCAGAAAAGTCAAGAGACAGAGATGTGTCCGCGTCTTGGTGTCATAGCTTATCTCCGTCAGGCTTCCACTGCAACAATGTCGTGCAGCAAGCCGCTGCAGACTCAGCACCTAAGCCAGCAACTGTCACTCTCTGTCATGCATGCAGGCCGGTTCCTTCTGGCCAGGCTGGGTCGGGCCGGGCCTGTCTGCCTTCTGTTCTTTTTGGGGTGAGGGCTCCCCAAGGCATGTTCTTAGCGTGCTAAGGCAAGTGAACAGAGGGCAGTTCCAACCCTATAAGCACACAGGAAGTCTTCATCTGGGTCATACCTCCAATATTTTGTTGGTCAAAGCCAATCATGTGGCCAAATCCCCACAAATAAAGGAGGCAAGGAACTATACTCCCCTGGCCGTGGGAGGGAGGAACTGGGGAGCCGCAGGGCAAAGGGCACGGATGCAGAGGAGGGGAAGGAGCTGGTAACAGTGACACACTCTACCACATCCCTCAAAAGGAAAGTGGTTTGAAAGGAGAGGCGATAACAGAATTCCCACGGAGAGTTTCCAGTTTCCACACAGCAGCAGTCAGTGAGGAGGAGGCAAAAGACCCATCACCCTGATCTTCCGTGCACGTCTGCTTCGGTGGTCAGTCACCGAGCTAGGAGCAAACACATCACCTTTGACCTGACCAAAATCTGCACCATTTGGGGGGGATCTGGCCACTGAACGTGCTGTGTGAGTGACCTCTGGCCCTTTGGCTGTGCTCAGGCTGGAGAGGCAGCGTGTTGGTGACAGTCCCTTCTGTTGTTTATGTGCATTCTGCGAGGGGTCCGAGCTGTTTCACACCCTGTTACAGCCACAGCAGCAGTCGGGGAGTCCTGGGGTGGCCTCGTCACACAGCAGCCAGGGCAGGAAGGCCACGCTGCCCGGGACCCTCAGACTGAGAAGAGCCAGGCGGCCCAGCTGCGTTTCTCGCCTCTGTTTTGAAACCCAGGAAACATTTTCCTAATTTTAGGGAAAATCTCTGTAGACACCTACAGCCATTTTCTCAGGTGTTTGCCTAAGCCAGGGGTGTGGTCATTCTCCGTGACCTTGACCTGTAGCACTGAATCTGTCAAAACGTGAAGTCTCGCTACTCACCTTTCGACAGGCCCTTCCTTACGCTTCACTCCCCAGATCATGATTTCCAAACGCTTATTCTCCCACTTGCTCCTCAGAGTAAGCTCTTGTTAAGGATGGGGGGCTTCTCAGGTGGTCTGTGTGTAGGGCTGCTCTCTCCCAGCTTTATCGTCAAGGCTTTATCTTAAGTGATTATAAATGTCATTAAAGTCATGGGAAGTCTGAGGAAGGAGAATGGATTTATATGAAAGAGAAAGAAGGTGATGAAACAGAACCAGTAACTGGGACGTGGACCCCCTGTGGCGGATGCCCATCGCGGTGCACGGGCAGGCAGGGCGACCGTCGGGGCGACCGTGAGCTGGTCGGCTGCCAGCCACCCACCATCCGCCAGTCAGCCCTGGCGCCCAGCCTCTGGTGGGTGCCCTTGGGAACTCGAGGGGAAAATGTAACTGAACCATGTATGGCAGAGCCCCAGTTATTGACCCGGCGTCTCCGAGCTGACACATCGGCTTGCTGGGCTCCAGGTAAAGTAGTCGAGCAGTAGGATTCGCTGAGTGGTTGTGCCCTAGGCAGACGTTCACAGGAAATACAGTGGAGCAGACTCCATTCTACCGGAAGCCAGGCGATCAGCAAGCTAAATTCCTGTGCTCCCTTTCCGCGGAGAAGGAAGCTGGTGCGAAGGAAATTAATGTTGTTTATTTTTTAAACGACTTGCAGATTGTTTGATAGGATTAAGTGGTGTAATTGGCTTAACTCCTGGGAAATTATTTGTCATTTTCTGCAACACCAACTGATCCTCAGAATGATTCAGTTTAATGACTTTTTGGAACACCGCTGACTGAGTGGAGCACCCTACGTCTGAGATCATTGGTGTGCTCACAGAAAACTGTGTAGTTCATCAGAAAGCACCTCATTCCTGAATTGTCCTTGGTCCTCGGTGTGACAAACAACAACTGGAGAACGAGCACTTTGGCTCCAGAAGCAAGTGTGCAGAGTGGTAGGGCCGCCCACAGGCTGTGCTCCCTGGGGCAAGACGCTGTTCCCTCATTTCCCTCATCTTTACGATGCTCTGCGTTTGGTTCTCAAGCTGCACGAGAGCTCATCACAACCCCACAGGGACAGGTATCACCGAGGTGATGGGGTACGGTGTCCCTTCAGGTTCACTCACCACGCTGCCATCAGCGGCGGCTGGGCCCCTGCTCTGTGCGCCTGGCCGCCGGAGCCAGGGAGTGCCGGGGAGCACGTCCAGGGGGCACTGCCGACAGTCTTCTCTCTGGCCTCGGACCCTCCGCCGTGGCCAGGGAGTGGGCCACTGGCTTCCTGCAGCCTTTGCAGGACCAGTGTTTCACACGGGCTGTATGTTGTGGCCTGCCTTAGAATGTTCTAAACACATCGACATTTCTCGCCTGCTACAAAGTCTGACTGAGAAGTGGGGACAGGGTAGAGATGCTCCCTGTGGGATCTCAGGCACCATTCCTGCCCCAGGCAAATGGGACAGGATGAACTGCCAGTAAGGCTTTCTTTCCTCCAGCCCTGGAAGCTTCCGGCTTCCTTGGGAGCCCATGTTGCCTCTAGTTTCTGGTGTCTGCTGCCACCTGCTGGCTCACTTCCCCCAGAGCAGCTAATAACAGGGCCTGAGGGAACCCCCTCCCTCACACAGATGTAGGGTGACTGGGCCAAGTACCGAGTCCCTGGTTGGCATCTGCCCTGGGGGTGCGTACCCGAGAGAGAGAGAGATGAGATGCCTGTGTGCGGTGCGCTGCATGGAGGAAGTCACTGACATGCGTCGGTCCCAGCAGCTCTGCTTTGAGAACTGTGACGCACGCCGTTGGCCAAGGCTCTAACAGCCCCGCGCCCCTCTGGGGCGTGCTCACTCTTGCAGCTCTCCGAGTCGTCCTCCTCGTGCTCCTCCATCCATTCCATGGACACCAGCTCCTCAGGGATGTCGTCCTTAGCCAACCCCCTGTCCTCCCCTCCGCCCTGCAACAACAACCCCAAAGTCCACAAGCGCTCCGTCTCCGTGACTTCCATTACCTCGACGGCGCCGCCTCCCGTGTACAACCAGCAGCTCGAGGACTCCTGCATCATCCGCATCAGCGTGGAGGACAACAACGGCAACATGTACAAGAGCATCATGGTGAGGCGCTCGGACCCCGCCCCCCCGGGACACGCCCCCTGTTGGCGCATGCGCGCGTACTCATGCTGAAAGAGTATTTAGTGCCAGACCATGCGTCCCTAGATCTCCCTGGGCACGCACCAGTGATGCACACATGTGAAGCCTGCTCACCAGCAGTGCATATAGGGCACACTCTTTCATCTTAAAATGTGCTAACGTTTATCCTCCAGGTCAATGTCACCCCCTTCTAAACTGTCCTCTCCAACTGCTGTATGACGGATTCCAGGGGGGGCGTCACTGCTGCACCCCCTCTTGGGGGTCCTCCTGTGGAGGTCCCTGTCTGGGTCTGTAAATGAATGGCCACGCACTCTTAGCAATGTCTCTGGCGGTGCATTTTTTTTTAAGTCATTTGGAATCCAAGTCGGTAAATTGGATGATCAGGCTGAAAATACAGTTTGAGTCTACAAGAACTACTATATCTTGCCATGTATAATGCACAGTTTTTTGCCCAAGTGTTTGAGGAAAAAATAAGGATGCATATTATATATGAGTAGTATTAATTCCATGTTTATATGTTTTTAATTTTTTTATTTACATTTATGCATTAAAAGTATAACTTTAGAAAGTAATAATGATGTCCATATGCAGAACTGTACCCTGGAATATGATCATTTGTTTTGCTTCTAAATATAAATACATCAAAAATGGAATTAAAACAAAAGATTTTTTTCCCTGAAAGCTTGGGCCAAAAACATGGGTGTGCATTATGCGTGGCGAAACATGGTATGCTTGCAAATAAGTAACACAGGACTTTTTGAGCTTCTCATAAAAACTGTGTCTTTGAGCACAGCTCCACGAGGTTTGGACAATGGCAGTCTTTCGGGGTGCAGAGCCTCTCCTGGTGTGTGCACGTGTGTGAGGTCTGGTGTGTTTGTCACAAGAAGAGACTCTGGCTTACAGAGCATGTCGCACATTGAAAAGCACATTCTGCCTGGCAGTGCGATCCCACAGTGACCTGCGTCTCCTGTCCATCACTCGCCTTCTCCCAGTGCGCTTTGAGTGCTTCCGAGCTCGGCTCAGAGTATGACTCAGTGATGTGGAGGTGACTATCTTTTAACTTGCTGAAGAAAAGCTTTACTAGAGCAGGCATGGAACCAACTAAACATTTCTTGAACTTGGTTGTGTACTAGTCTTTGGCCGAGGAGTTGAGGATAGGCAGGTGAATGAGACATTTCTGTCTTTGAGGCACTTGTCAAAAGAGAGATTATAAAGCATTATTCAAAATGTTCTAAGTACTGTAATAGAGATCAGACCAGACAATAAGGGGCCGAAGGCCCACGTGAAGGAGTTTGCATTAGTCCCACTGACCTTATCGAAGGCTTTTAAGATACGATCGGATTTATTCATTAGAAAAGTACCGAGAATTGTGGTGTCTCGGGCTGGAGTACAGGGCCGGGCTGGAGGCAGGGAAGCAGGTTAGGAAGCTGCTGTCATGGTCCCTGCAGGAGATGGTAAGGGTTTGGCTGATGGTCATGTGACTGCAGAATCCATTTATCCGGTTATCGATGTCTGGTTACTGTTGTTGGGGAGGAGGAAGAGGGAGACTCAGGGCTGCCCGGGCGGCCAGGCGATGCTGGTCCTGCCAAGTGAGGTAGGACCTGCTGGAGGAGGAGGTGTGGGGGCGCTGAAATTGGAGGTACCAGTGGGATACCCACATGGCATCGTCTAGTAGATGGTCAGAAACGGGCTGGTACCAGAGTCGAATACTGGGAGCCATGCAGCCCCATGGGTGGATCCGCCCGTGGAGGATGAGTGTGGGCTGAGACAGGAGGGGGAGGGGCTGGTCAAGGAGGCCAAGGTCATCGTGTGGTTTCTGTATTTTCAGCATGGTTTGTTCAGGTGGATCCTCTGACACGTGCCTGCCAGAGGGGGAGGTCTCACCTACGTGACTGTAGGGTGACCCTGAGCTAAAGGGAACTAAGAACTGATACGTGCAGCAATCAGAGCCGGCGAATCTCTGAAACGTCATGTCGAGCCAGAGAAGCAAGGCACAAAAGAACACATCCTGTGGGAGTCTGCTCATTCAGAAATAGGCCAACCCAACCTGGGGTATTAGGAGACCCAGCTCGGGGAGGGGCTCAGGGGACTGTTTCATTTCCTACTTGAGGTGCGTGGAGGCGACACGTGCATCGGCAGGCATCCGCTTGATCGCTCGAGCTGTTAGTGCGGACCGTGACCCTCATCTCCCCCTGTGGCTTTTGTGGCACCGAGTACTAAGCATTGAGGCAAAGCCACCCTCGTTCGGACACAGCTGGGGGAGGTGGGTGTAAGAAGATGGGGCGGCCTGGCTTTCTCCTTGAGGGGTTCACTAATAACCATCTTGGCCCCATGCGCCATCCCCCCGAGGGGCGTCCTTTCTCCTTTGGCTTCTCACTCCTTGTCCGCTTGGGTTCAGCCGTGGGACTATTTCTATTTCGTGTAAACCAGCGAACGACAGATTCCCTCCTTTAAACTTTTGTGTGCCCTTATTTCTCCCTCGTAAGTGGATATGCCAGATGTCTTAGTAATGGACAGATGCGCAAGGTCTTTTTTCGCCTGCGAGGACCCCTTGTGATGCATGTTGTTTGTTGAGTCGCAAACGCCAGCTGCTGCCCCTGCGTGCTGTCCCCAGGTGCCAGTGACGCCGCTCTCTGGGGGACGTCGGCTCCTTTGCTTTCTGTTTGTTTCTGTGCTCCTCTCTCCTTTTACTGCCTGGTGAGAACAGCTTTTATTTTTAAGGAAGGACAATTTGTGTTTTCACTTTCTTCCTTTCGTATTTAAAGAAATCGCCCAAGGGGTGGCATGTATGTGAGCCCCCTGTCCTGCGCACCCTGCCAGTGGGTGGCTGATGGGCGGGGATGAAGGGGAGAAAGTCAGGATTGGGGGTGAGGGGAGACACACTTTTGAACAAGTGTTAGATTTATATTTTTAAACTTTTAGAAGCTGATTTTTACTGACGCATAATTCACAAACAACTACATACAGAGATCTTGTGTTTAGGTCTTTGGGTTTTAGTACCTTTACTTCCACCTCTGCCGCTGCCTCTTCCTGTCTGTGTCTGTGTTTATATGTGTGACCGTCACCCCAAGTCTAGAGAAGGAACCTTCTTTCGTCCTTCCCCCCAATCCAATGCCCTCCTAACCTGGTCAAGGTTAAGGCTAATTCAAGTTGGTTTCCTAACACCACGGGTTAGTCTGGCCTGTTTGTAAAGGAACCGACTCCTGCGGCATGTCATCTTTGTGTCTGGCTTCTCTGGCTCCAGTTCACGTTGAGTCTCATGTTTCAGAGATTCATCCCCAGTATTGCGTGTATCGGTGCTTCATTTCCTTTAACCTGCGGATGAGTGTTCCGTTGGGAACATGCTGCAATTCCGTTGTCCATTCCCTGTTCTCCTGTCGCTGGAGATTCGGGTTGGTTCCGGTCTTTAGCTATTGTGAACAAGCCTGCCAGGAGCACTTGTGTGCGAGTCCTCTTGTGGACACATGTTCTCATTTCTCTTGGCCGTACCTAGGTGTAGGACTGCTGGGTCACAGGGTCACTGTGTTTTTTTGAAATGGTCAGCGTGCAGAACTGGCCATTTCTGAGGCCCAGGTTGAAGCCAGTGCCATGGCCGCAGCTCAGCAGGCGAGGCTGCCTTTGGTCCCAGACTGAAAATGCTGGACATTTTTCAGAGTACGTCTTTCACTGGAACCTCAGCCAGTGCGAGGGAGACAGGCACGGCACGCCTTCTCGGTAGTTTAATGGGGGAGACACTGTGACTCTGGGATGGTAGGCGGCTGACAGCATCGTCCTGTGACTGCTGAGGCCATTTCTCCTGGGAGGCACGGGGTGGCCAGGGCAAGAGGGCCAGGAGAACTCTCGGGGGGGAGGGTGCCGCTGAACACCGTGCCCCCTCTTCCCTGCCCTTGCAGTTGACGAGCCAGGACAAAACCCCCGCGGTGATCCAGAGGGCGATGCTGAAGCACAACCTGGACTCCGACCCGGCCGAGGAGTACGAGCTGGTGCAGGTCATCTCGGAGGACAAAGGTGGGTGTGTAGGTCACCCGGCTTTAAAAGGCAGAAAGTGGGTGCAGTGTCTTCTTTTTCAATGGAACCAAGTGGGGTTTAACTGTGCAAAGGCAGAGCTGTGTGGGGGCCACGCCATCGCCTCACCTGTGGAATTAAGCGTCTCAGGCTGCTTCCCGCCCCAATAACCCTTCTTACATCCACGCGTTGCTGGGAATGCCTGCTGCCAGTTTGTTGGAAACCTCTCGCCCAGCATCAGGTGTCTCCCTGAGTCAGGGCGGGGGCCCGGGGGTTCCGCTGGGTGTGTGCAGGGGGCCAGGCGCCTCCTCTACCCCGTGACGCGTGGGTCAGCCGGGTGTGCTCCCCAGCTGCAGCAGGCTCTGTGGTCATCGCCATTGTTGCGGTTCGCCCAGAACCCGTTCCTCAGAGGAATGCCTCTTATGGAAACACTGGGCAAATAACCACCCCGATGTGCCTGTGTGCCCGTCTGAATTGGGCTTGTGTCTGCTGCGAGGCGGAGAGAGGCTGGGAGACAGCTCCTCCACACCCTGTCCCATCACAGAAAGGGACTCAGTGAGAACAAATTGCATTTCCGAGGGCGGAAGGACCCCAGAGGAGAGCAGCCGGCCTTAGCGGGGCCCGTCCCCAGGGTGAAAGACGGCAGCCTCCGGGAAAGGCCTTTGTCAGCTGCTTCTCGGGAATGCTCTCATTCATTAAGCCGAGCCCAGCTTGCAGGGTACACCTTTCGCAGTTATGAGATATACTTTGCTGTTGTTTCAGTTAAAATTCTAAGCCTAGAGTGAGGTCTCCTGAGTTTTACCGCATTACCGATGAAAACACTCAGGTGAGGCTGGTGGGTCTGAAGACCCCGGAACCCCGAGGTGCGGGCAGGCCCGGCTTCGTTGGCCACGGCGCGGTCCTGGTGGGCTGCCCGACCTCCCCGGCCTCAGTGCTTCGGTAGTTCCATGGGAACGTGTGGGCGAGAGGTGGAGGCTGTTTGCAGGAGGTGTTCTCCACGACCACTGAGAACCTGGCTGCGTTCTTCGGTCCTGCAGTCGGAGCCCAGTGTCTGAAGTTGACGCGCGCCGACTTCCTCCAGTCCTGCCGTCGGGTGCCCCGCGCATGGCCTCCCCCCTCCACTGCCGCGGAGCTGCACTTGCACAGTGCACCTCTCGTAGCCCCTCTTTGGGGGTTTAGAGCCCAGTGGCCCCTGAGTGCCCAGTAGCATATACCTTCTTTTAAAAATAAGAATGAGTTAAAATAACTTTGCTTAGTAACTTCGTATCACACCCGGAATACCCTTGCCCAGAAGTTGCAGCTGTGGACCTGGGAACCATCGAGGGAGACAGCTGGTCAAACGTGAGCAGATACGCGCTGTCTCAGGGGGCGCTGTTTCGTATAAAATGCGAGCTCCTGATGAAGCAGGGCCCCAGAAGGAGTAGAATACTGGGTGGGTTAGGGATCACCTGAAAAGTATTTCTGCGTTCCAAGCGAAGAGTTCTGGAAAACACTGCAGATTTCCTGCTCCCCACCCCGCATGTCAGCGGACCCTCGCAGTCCCAGAAAAGGTGCATTTCGGGGTGGGAACTAGACTGCGGAGGAAGGAGACCCAGGTCCTGGTCCCGTTCTGCTGCAGCTAGCTGTGGTCTCGGGAATGGCATTCAAATCCGCTCGGGCTCTGTCTCCCACAGAACTCCTTTCCAGCTAAAACATTCTGCGTGTGAACGTTTAGTTCAGAGGTCGAATTTCTAAGATGATATTTGCACTTAGTTTTTCTTTTTTAAGTTGGGATTGAGAAGTTGTAGGAACCTGTTTAATTTGTGTGTGGGGGGGGTGGTGGGTGTTGGTCACCATCTGCTTCCTTTCACGTTCCAGGGACCAGGCAGAGGGCCGTAGTCCCAGCCTCGTCCCAGCCTCGTCCCAGCCTCGTCCCTGGGCAGACTCTTGCCCCGCCCCTGGCCGTGCTGGGCTGACCTGCACAGCTGACTGCTTCTCTGCATTCTTCATTCCTAGAGCTCGTGATCCCAGACTCGGCAAACGTCTTCTATGCCATGAACAGCCAAGTGAACTTTGACTTCATTCTACGCAAGAAGAACGCCACGGAAGACCAAGTGAAACTGCGTAGCCGGACCAGCCTGACCTTGCCCAGGACAGCAAAGCGGGGCTGCTGGAGCAACAGACACAGCAAAATCACCCTCTGAAGGGGGGACCTCCGGCCCCGTGCTCGCCCACGGCGGCAGGGCGGGGCTGCGGACAGGCCGCGGGGACTGCAACTACCGTCCAGTGTTAGAGGGTCCTCAGTGACGTCAGCAGACACTCACTGAGCACCCGCGGTGCACAAGGCCTCGAGGGATCGGAGGTGAATCTGCCACGAAGAGGAGGAACGGTTCACCGATTCTCCTCCACCCATCTGAGACTGAAACTCGAAGTTATCCACACTTACAAATATATATTACACATATCTGGTATGTATGTGTACATATAAAATATATGAGAGACTTGGATATTCTGGATTACGGAAAAAACAAATTTGCACAACGGCCTGGGAAGTTGAGGTCACTTTCCACAGGGAGACAGAAGGAACTGAGAACCTGGTTTCCCGCCTGCCGAGTGAGTGGACCCGGTCCTGGGAGTGCAGAGAGTCCTTGTGCCGGCATTACTCGGAGTCCAGACTGTTCCTCCTAAGGGAGACGACGAGTTTCCCGGTCAGGAGCCACCAGAGGGGAGCGGCTGCAGAGGTGGGCAGTGCCACGGGCTCCACGGAAGGCCGCTGTGGGAAGGGCTCGGACGAGCCCCTGGCTGCCGGCCTCTGCCCGCACCCCAGCCTCTGGCGGCCCCAGGGAGGAGCCTCGGAGGCCCAGCCCGCCCCCCTGTCCAGCGTCTGACAGTTGTGGAGTCCACACGGGCCCGTCCTGATGCGTGGCAGCCGCACCGTGTTTCTGGTCCCCATGACGGGCACGTCACAGCCGTCACTGCGCCGTTAGCCATGTTCGCGGGTGACGCAGCCTTTGCCGATTGCCTTCTGCACGTGAAACTCCGTGTCTGGAGCCTTTTGCCATCTGGACCGCAGCAGCTCTGTGTTATGTGCAATCTGTTCCTCAGGTGTAGAAAGTCCTACTGCAACTGACTCTTATCTGATCATTTTGAGCCTGTGAAAGATTTCTAAGCAGGGCTGCTCCGTTAACAGCCCCTCGGAAGATGCTGCCCGCGGACCGCAGCGCCCTGTTTTACGTACTAACTTTTGTAGCATTACTGCGCCGCATCACAGGGCCGGGCGGGGCCGGGCGGGGACGGGGCTGCGTTCCCAGGGGGCCCCGCTCTCCCGGATGGATTCAGTAACATTTTTCTCCAGGTCCCCACACTTGCTGTCGCAGCGTCGCTGTCCCGTGACTGTCCCCTTCCAGATCTGAGCTGTGCTGGGGTTGGAACTAAAAAGCCATATGTGGGAGGTTGACATGTGTAAGAAGCACTTTCAGAAGGTTGCCCTTTTTAAGGAAAAAAAATTCTCAAAATACCAGTTTTTATTCCAAAAATAAAGAACGAAACCACATACGAAGTGTAGATGGTGACGTGGAGCTTTCTTCCCCCCCAATCCTGTGAGACAGCCTCCAGAGGTTCCGTGGGGTTTACGTGCCGTGAACAGCCGCGGGAACCTGGGGAGGCACCAGGGAGGGTGGAGGGGTTCGTGGCCGTGGACCGAAGAGCGAGCCGGGAAGCCTTCGCTTCTCCCCTCCGCCTTCCTTCGAGACCCGTCTGCGCGTCGCCAGGACCCACGGGACACAGAGAGTCGAAAAGCACTTTCTTCTGTTCGCGAGGCCCGTCCCGTTCGAGCTCCTGTGCCTGGAGGCGAGGTGGCCGGGCGCTAGACATCATGGACACTGAAGTGAGTGGCGCCTCGGCCCGAATTCCGTGGTTTGCAGGTCAGAAAGGACGTCGAGGGCTGTCGGCCTCGTGGAGAGCGCACGTGACCACCTCGGTCCCCCTGTGCCCATGTGCTCGCCCTGTGTGTCTATACTGTACATGTAGAGTCTAGATTTATATACTGCAATGTAAAAATATATATATATTTTCCTTTTTTAAAGACAATGGACATTCCAAGTAGATACAACGTAGCCTCCTTTATTTAATGCCCCTTTCAATGTCTTCATTGCGCCCTCTGGTGGACAGCCGGGTGCTTTCGGCTGCGCACGTGCTTGTCTTTCTGCGTCTCCATCGCCTGTTTACTTCTGGGTTACACTAATAAACTGGCTGGGACTTGGGCGGCACAGGCTGCCAGCCCCAAAGGGACTGTATCTGGAGTATTAATCAGGTGGGCTCTGGGTTCCCGCCGTGCTGATAAGCCCTCCGGACGCCCGCTCTGGCCCAGTTCTCGGGAGCAGAGGGCAAACCAGCGGCAGAGGTTGGGGAGGGACCCTCTCCTTGGGCAACTGTTGAAATCAGGCCTGGGGAAAGAGTGACATCCTCAGGACACTGTAGCCGGATGCCTTGCTGCCAGACTGCTCTCATTAGGAGTCCTGTGGTGGGGGGACACTTTGTATGACCTTGAACTTAAAGTCGGGATCCAAGGTGGCACTTTGCCGACTTTCCGACAGCCTTTCCCCCAGTCTGCACCTGCCACTAGCCGCGTGAGTCTCGAACCCCGGAGGGCTCTATGGGAAGGCGGTCTCCCCAAAGGGCAGTCGCGCCAGGGTTTGCTTCACTCTCCAGCGGCACGGTATTGTCATTTGTCATATTATTTCCAGGAAGCTCCCAGAACTGTTTTCCAGGGCATCCCTAAATGGCTCCAAATCATCAGATGTTCTGGGTCCTTGTGGTATTTTGGAGAGAAACGACTAGGTCTTTTAATAATTGATAAAATGGGGTAGGGCAGGTAAAAAAAAGGGTTTTTTTAATCTCTGGTGTTTTTTCAAGATCATTCTAGAAAACTAGCTCCATCGTTTTGCCTCTGTCTAAACACTGAAGGTGGTGACTTTCTGCCTAGAGGAATTATGTCTCAGGATCTCCCCCCGGGAGCCCCCTCACATTTGCCGTGCGGCGGAGGGCCCCTCGGAGGCGGGCAGGCTTGCTCTGCGCCCTCTCTGGCTCCGTGGTGTCGAGGAGGTTCCCTGACGCCCCTGGTTACAGCCCGTATCAGAATGCCGCTGTGAGAAGGTATTTCTACCGTGTTTAGCGTTGCTTATTCCCCTGGAGACCCCCTTACATGAAACACTTCTGGAAGGGACGGATGAGGCCAGGCTGGGGCAATAACCCACGAAATCCCAGTGACTTCTTAACACGGTTTCATTTTCCATCACGTCACAGTGCAATAATGCAAGCCAGGCCGTGCTCCTTGGTGACTTTCCTCTAACGGCGGTTCAGGGACCCAGGCAGCGTTCAGTTCCGCCCTGTCAGGTTCCTCACGTCACAGCGACGGCAGAGAGAACTCGGAACTGTTCCTAACTGCCTTAGACCCCAGTGGCGGTGTCACCTCCATTCACAGGCCGTGTGGCCCCAGTCTAAGTGCAGGGGAGGTGGGGACGTGTGGGTGACACCGAGAGTAGTCGCCAAGCACTGCTGTCTCCGCCCGAGAGGGCTGCCGTCTTCTGACCAGGGGGCGTGGGTCTGTTCCTCTTTCCCGCGTCGTGGAAAAAAGGGTTTTCGGGGGACGGCATTGAGGACTGGGGATGGGCGCTGCACAGAGCAAAGAAGCATTGAGGAAAGAGGAGAGCTCAAAGGAGGAGAAAGTGCCACGAAGGGTCATTTAAGTTTGTCTGCAATGAGCCGTAGAGAATTTGTGTTTAATTTTCAGCATGCGCTCACCACCAATTCACAGGCATCTAAGTGGTCCCTACTTCGACTAAAGGAGGAGCTGCTTTACAGACGTAGTTGTTAAAAACAAATCTAGGACATTTAAAGTGTTTACATATAACCCACGAGATCCAATAGAAGCCAGGCAAATTTAATTATTTTAGGCTCAGAGTTTGAAAACCACATATTTGGTGTCATTTTTCAACATCTCTACCCAGAAAACTGTGGGAGGAATTCACTTAACAGTTGCTAACATTTTGTTAAGAATCGGAGGCATCTTAGAAATCATGGAGACCCCTCATCATATTACAGAGATGGGCTGAGGCCCAGGGCAGCGAAATCAGTTGCCCAAGGTTAAGGGCAGAGCTATGGATTATCGGCCCCACCGTGTGCATGTCACATTGGGCTGGTCCCTGAACCCCAGAGATGGATATGCCTCCTAGCCCCCCGGAGCTGGAGAGCGTGCCTGGGGGTCTCCCCACCCCAATGCAGGGATTCCTACATGCGTTCACACCATCTTGGTTAGATGGTTCTTTAAAGTCTCCAAGGAGAGTTGCACTGCTGGTCGGAGCACTGCTCCCTCTCATCCTGAGCATGAGTCCATCTCACAGGAGAGGAAGCAGGGCCAGAAAAATCAGGGTTACGTTGTGAGTTCGCTCCTTAGCTAAGTTTTGAGTCCATTCCTGATCCCTGGACTCTGCAGGCCCACAGGGGTGGGGTAGGTGCAGGGGGGCGGGCCTCCTGTGGAAAGCACCAATGCAGGAGGAGTTGAAGGAGGTGTGTGACTGGGGCCCGGCTGTGTCAGTCAGAGGGAGCTGGGACCACTCTGCTCCGCGTCTCTGGAAGCCAGCGATCTGAGACAAGCACTTAATCACGGGCTCCTCCAAAGATCCCATTTTGTTCCCACCATTGATTAATCCCAAAGCTACACTTCATGCTCCAGCTCCAACTTCTTACATAAGGGGTACCAGAAAAGCAAGTGAAAAAAATAAAGGCAGTGAGTGATTTAAACTGTTTCTGGATTGCTCCAGGCACAAAAAATATATCAAGGCACCAGCTGCAAAATGGGAGAAGCGTTCTAAATGAGACTGTTCGCTTTCCTCAGTCATCTACTTCTGGTCCTTGTTCATACAACATCTGACATCCAAGCCTCCAGCAGACCGTCATCGTCAGAGCAGGGCTGAGCAGCCGAATGGTCGATATGTGAGATACTGTAGGCGGGAAGTAAACTGGGGGCTGGAGCAGCAAGCTCCTTTGTATTGATATATCAGGCTCCATGTGTATGTGAGAGACAGACAGACAGACATTCAGAAAATCAGAGATGGAAACATTAGATGTTAGTGAGAAGTCAAGAAACCAGGCATTCTCCACCAGAAGCTTGGCATGGATGGGTTGGTGCCCCTGGGATCTGACTCCCAGCCACTTGCTACCTAAGCTAAGTCACTGAGCTGTTGCCTCACCTGCAAAGCAGGGGTTGGTGAGGGTTCACGCGGGATTCAATGGCACAGCGCCCTGGAGAGAAGGGAGCACGTGGTGCGCACACAGGAACTGTCAGCTGTCGTCGCCCCTGGGAGGCCCCTGGCCTAAGGGAGTCGTGTCTCTTCTCAGGAGCCCTCCCACCGCCTTCCCAGGGGGAGCAGCTCACAGTGTGTCACACGCAGCAGCTGTGACACGCTGTGAGAGGCGATGCCAGGTGTGCGGACAGCAGCGCCCTGGGGAAAACAGCTTGCGGCGGCTCTGGGGAAACACTGACTCTCGGGGCTGGAGGGCAGCCAGGGCTGCTCCAGCTCGTTCCACCGCCGCAGGCCGAAGTGGCTCCGGGAGACGGGCCCGTGGGCCTGTGCGGCCCTGACGGTGCGCCGGGCAGGCTGTCCACCTGGATCCTGTCTCCCGGTGAAGGGGGGGCTCTGCTGGGGACCATTCAGATGCACGGCCCTGCATTGCTAATGGCCCACGGGGACTGGGAGCTCTAGACCTGTCCCTCTGCTGGCCGTGCAGCCGAACCATACCCCAACCTCTCCCGCTGCTGCAGTTCATGCAGATAAAGCAGCCACTTTGAGGACCAGGCATTGCCTGTGCCTTCAAAGCCTCTGATCCCTCCCTCCTTTTCTGGCCTTGCTTTCTCTGCAAAGGGGCCTCTGTCCCTTCTCCCCAGTCCTTCTCCTCAGAGCACTTCTGTCCTGAGCTCTGCGTGCTGTGCCCTGAGCCACCCCTTTCCTCTCACCTGCATTTTCCTCAGGACGACCCCTCCCCTCCGGCCCGACACTCAGCTCGGGGCGGGGCCCTCCCTGTGCTCAATCTGCACAATCCCACCCCCATCAGGCCTCCACAGTGTGTGCCGCCAGTTTCCAAAGCAGCTGAAATCCTCTGGGCCATGCCATCAACCCCTGGGCATCTCAGCTCCTGTCCGGGGTCTTCCCCAAACTGCAGGTCTCGTCCAGAAGAGGACACTTTGTCATGTTGTATTCTAAGCTTCTCTGAGGAGTGGAGACAGGGGGCTGTCCACTACACTCTGAAGGCCGTATTCCCTCAGGAGCAAGAACTCAGGTGTCTGTCCAGCCTCCCCTAGTGCTGGAAACGCCCAGGGGAGCCCCCCACCCAGATCCAGGGTGGGGGACTGGGAAGCTTGTGCTCTGTGAGCCCCGGAACTGCTCAGACGTGGAGATTTTATTAAAATGCCCATTCTACGGGCAGCCAAGCTGAAGAAACCACAGGGAGGGCCCATACAAATAAACACAGCAAATTAAAAGTAAAGAAAAACCAGTGCTCAGAGGCAGCTCTCCGTTCTTCCCACCCCTCTCCGGGGCAGACGGGAGGATGGCTCTGGGCTGGGAGCAGCCAGCTGGTGTTGCAGGAGCCTCCGGAGCAAGATCACCTCCATATTAACACATCCAATGTGGGGGGAGGGGAAGGAAACACCCAGGTCATTTTAGGTCGACTCACAGAGCAGAAGGGACGGCTCTCCCACTCAATGACACACGCTGATGGAGCTACAGACCTCGGACCTCAGACTCCCATTCGGAGTCGAATAATTCTGGGAATAAATTCGTCCTAAAAGCGCCCCCAAATTCTTCGTGCTGTGATTCAAGCCGTGGCCTCCCGTTCTGTGCTGGAGTGGCCGTCACCGTCCCTGTCATCTGTCGTGACACAGCGCACCAGCCCGCACGTCCGTTTCTCTCCTTTCCAAGCCGGCCAGAACGGACCTGCACCGGCCGGGCCTTTCGTCCCGTCTCAGCACCCCTGTGCTGGCTGAGGGCTGTCCCCCCACTCACAGGGGGCACCGCCCAGGCCACCGCTGTCTTGTCCTGGCCCTCCTCCTCTGCCGCGTTCAACCAGAACCTCCCGGGGGAGGAGGCTTCTCTCTGAAACAGTAAACATCGCCATGGAACACACAACACCGTGTGACGACGACCGTTCCCAGGGCTGCCCGCTCCCAGTTCTCCGACTGTGTGATATACCCGTGTCGTGCCTTTTTCTGATCGAACGACCAGCCTCGTTTTAACTCCCGCTCTGGCACTCCTGACTGACCTCCTCGGCGAGGTCCTCCCGCGTCGGCCGCGGAGACCCTTCTGGCTCGTTTCTCTCCCCTGCGCTCGCTCGGAGAGAGAGTCTCACGCGTACCGCGGACACCTCGCCCTTGCTCCATGGCTCCCCGTTGCAGGGATTCATCCCAACCGTAGGTGGGAAGATCCCCGAGTGGGGAGCTGAACGGGAGCGGTTCCTGTCTCAGACACCAGCCCCACTGGAGACTGGAAGCCGCCCTCTGTCTGCCAGGAAACCGACCCGGGAACCCACTCAGGAACGGTGGCCTCTGCATGCCTGACCAGACAGCCCGGCCATCGTCACCATTGGGTCCCTGTCCGGTTTCCTATCGTCCACCCCAGCACTTGCCTGCCTCCCAGCCCTGCCCAGGTTCCCCTCCCGGCCGCAGGGCGGGTCACAGCCCCACACCGTCCCAGTGCCGGGAGAGCATTCCTGCCGCCCTGCCCAGCCCCCCGGCTCATCTGACCTCCCTCCCGGTCATGCCCCCACCCCCGACCAACACAAATGTCACCTGCCGGAGAAGCGGCCCCGCCAGTCCTCCCCAGCAGACCCCGGTGTTCTGGGGTCCCATGGCCCGCTCTGCTCCAGGCTCTGAGACAAAGCCACCTGCTTGTGAGGCTGCTCCACGGGACCATGGAGCCCACAGCAGAAGCGACCTTTCCCAGTCCTCTGCGTCTCTGAGTGCCCAGCACGGCGCCTAACACAGGGCTGTGCTCAGACCTGGTGTTTCAAATTTTGGGGAAGCATGCTCTGAAAGTCAAGGCGTTTTGCTAAGTCTAGCATGGATTCTCCCCCCCCCCCGCCCCCCCACAGGATAAGGCTCTCTGGCTTTGGTCAAGCATCCTAGTACCCGCCGACGAATGGACAGACTGACCTATAGCACAAAAATGCAAGGTGGACTCTCTCTCAACACCCACCCCCCCATCCCTCCTGATTTTTTTTCCATATCCTAGAAACTTTTCCAGCTGACCCTCCTCCACCCCGCACTCTACGACGACCCACACGGGACAGGAAGGTCAGCCCCCGCCCCCTCTGGAGTGCCGTGGGGCCACGCAGCAGGGAAGGGTATCTCCGGCCCGCGGACCTCTGCTCCGGGGCAGACCCAGAAACCCCGGCTGCGGCCCCTGATCAGCGTTGGAGGAACATACACACAGGCACCACATCAGTAGCCAAATCTTTTTTAATTTTTACAAGGAGCTCTAGAAGGCAAGTAGTAGTTTATCACGTCCTCTCCTGAAATGGCACAGCATGACAGACAGTGTAGGGCGCTGGGGTGCCAGCACTTTCCCGTCCCCAACCCCCTGTGGCCAGCCCCAGAGGACCCCAAAGCAAGGTCCGTGCAGTCCACGCTCGGTGGCACCAGCCCCGCTGGGCTCAGGGCCGTCTGTCCAGAGGACTCCACTTTGGGCCCCAAGATCCAGGTCCAGATGGGGAATCTCGGGGCGGGGGGTTAACTTCAGAGGCTGGAGCAGGGGCCAGAGCTGGAGGCAAAGCCTCCGACACCGCGGAGGGCAGAGGTGTTGGCTGAAGCCTGGAGGGGAGGCAGGTGGAGGGCGAGGCCGAGGACCCCCTGGACCGCCGCAGAGACGACTCAGTAGAGGAACGCGGGGCCCGCGGGTCGCTGCGTTTGTGGCGAGAGAACGTCGCTTGGGATCCCAGACCCAAGCGGAAAGGCGCCGTGGCTGGGCTAAGAGAGCCAGAACTTTCTTCACAGTAGAACAGTCCTAATCTAAAGTTCTAGAATTTAAGACCCATGTCTTTTAAGAATGGGAATTCACAAACCCGCCAGACCAGCTGATGGGGAAAAAAGTGTTCCCTATTAAACAAAAGCACACGAAAACACAACTCAGACCTCCTCCTCCACGCTCCATACCCGGCCACCTCCCACCCCATTAAAAAAGTATCATAAACATCACACACACACACACTGAAATACACAAACAAAATACAAAACACCCAAGGAAACCTCAGAGATCACCTAAGGGTTTTTCACAAGTTCTCCAGGTTTCTCTTTCGTTTTTTTTTTCTCCTAGAAAAAAAAGAGTCACACTCTGATGGCTGTGTCTAAGCCGTAGAAACCGGAGTTGGCCGAGATCCCTTTCCTCAGTGTCTTGGCTTATTGGTCAACACAGAGGAGTCTCAGTGATACTTCAAGAAGGAAGGCCGAGACCGGTGTTCTGTGGAAGGCGGCTGCCCCGTCCTGCAGCCAGGGACCCTCACCAGGGCCCCCGGGGAAGGTGTGGACAGGACGCTGCGGAGGCTATTTCCAGAGCAAAGCTTTGTTGCTTGTGTGCACGCGAACATGAACCGGAAGCAAACCGTCCCGAGACAGCTGAGGATCCCCGAAGACACAATGTCATCCAACCCCACGTTTCACAGAAAATCAGTCTGTGAGGCCAGCAGAGAGGGTGTCTGCCCAGGACCTGGCGCCGAGAGCTTCCCAGTGGTTGGCCTGCGTCAGCTGATCAGTCCACTGTCTCTGAGCAAGGTCTCTCACCTGAAACGGAGGATCGTCTGTTTCCAGATGGCTCCAGCCTCCCACACAGGAGTCCGCCCGTGCACGGCAGGAGAACCAGACCGCTGGCTGAGCCAGCTGCCCACACCGCCACCCCCCGGGGCGCCTCTGTGTTTGGTCTCTGAACACAGAAACACTGGACACATCTGTTTCTCTCCCTCACCGGACAGCTATTTCCCCCCAATTTGTAAAATAAATAATTCAAACTAGAACGAAAAACTCAGGCAAGGACAGTAGCTGCTGCCCCTGAACCGTGACTCGTAAAACTCCCACCTGCGACTCATTCCCAGGCCGGGGGCGGGGGTTGCGTCCGACGTGCCGAACCCCGGGACAGAAATTAGACGCCAGCCCGACCCCTATATATTAAATCTATCTTCATAAATAGAGCTTCCTAACTCAAGTGACCACAACCCAAAAGGGTTAAGGTCTGGGTTCTTTCTCCCTCAAACATCTACGCAAACCCCAGTTTAGAACTACTGAACTGTACCCCATGGCAACCTGGAACCTCGTTACGAGAGCTTCGGTGGCCAGGGCAGTGAAAGGCCAAGTCTCGGACGGACCCAATGGCCGTCCCACTGGACAACGAGGACAGGAATCAAAAACTCCCTCTGCACGAAGGCTCACAACAGAATTTCTTTCAACACCAAGCCCCATTACTTTGATTTTAAATCATTTGATTGTCCCCCACAAACTTGTTAGCTACCCGAGTTTTTAGGGTCACGTCTATGACGTAAAATGGGCCCCTGGACCACAGATGTGGCCCGGCCGGCGTGGCTGCCTTGCCCACTCGTGCACCGACAGTGTGGCCGTCACCCTTCTCTCAGATGGGTCTCTGAGCCGCACTCTCCAACCTCACGGGAGAACCAGCAGTGCGTGGGGAAGGAACCAGAGGCCTAGTTTCTGCACTGAAGTTTGTCTTAATGGCTGCCATAAAGCCTATCTTCCAGCCATCCTAGGAAATTTGGGGTTACATTTCTAATTTCTCCTCCCCTCAAAAATATATTAGTTTCGATCGATCGCTTTCCATCGACCACTTTGGTTAGAGGCCTGGGACCATGGGAAAGAACAGGAGCAAACCGACGCACAGCCGTCAGAGAGACCAAAGTGGGGGTGGGGGGCGGGGCGGAGCCGGCGGAGCCTTCAGAGCTCGTCCCTCGAAGGCAGCGAGGCCGGCGGGGACAGGGCCTCCGTGTTCTTGGCGTTGTGGTGGATGTGGCCTTGCTTCTGGGACTTCCAGGAATGCGTCCTGTCCCAGTCAGTGGCCACTGTCTCGTTGTCCCAGATGGTCGAGGTCTCTGTGTCGCTCAGATAGCCCGGCTGGCCCGTGTAGTGCGTGGGGTAGATGAGCAAGGGCTCTGCGGAGAAAGCTTTCAGGTCCCTGGACTTGTAGTGCTCCTTGTACTGCGCACTGAAAACGAGAGGCAGAGGGCGGGTGAGGGGCAGGGTGCTGGCGAGGGGGCGGGGGGCGGGAGGGGGCCCTGCCTGCCAGCTCTCCAGTGGTCTGCGCTCATCGGATTGTCCTGTAAGTCGTGTCCTCTGTGGAAAACTTTAGTCTATAAATCAATACACATTCTTTAGAAGCTCCCAGATGCTCTAAACAAATACACAAAGAAAAAGTCAGGATCTTTCTGTTGTATTTGGATAGACTCGTTTAAAAGATGACTTTCAGGTCTTGCTCAAAAAGTTAAGAGTGACGCTCTGTGGGACCACGGTAATAAATAAGGGGGATCCCTCTGCAGCGAAGGCCCTGTGGCTGGACTGAGCAATCCGACAGCAGGACGCGGAGGGCGGTGCAGTGTAAGGGAGCTGGTGGAGGCCCGGAGGTGTGCCGGCGCGGCTTGGGGTTCCAGCTCCCCGTGGGTGTACAGCTGAGGGGGCACCCCACCTCCCTGCCAGGGCTCCGGTGCGGAGGACAGGGGGGGCACACCTGCTCAGCTCCTAAGTGGGTGAGTGCTCCTTCCCTCTCTGTGAGGGGGATGATGGCCGACCTCCGTGTTTCTCCAGGACGCAGAGACCACGTCATCCTCTAACAGGCTGTGTACAAGAGGGCAGGGAGCTCATCCTTACTGAGGACAGGAGACAAAATGAGCACGCTGGAGCTCGGGGGCTCTCAGCCACTGACGTGAGGACCACCGGGTGAGGCCGTCACCCAGGCGCTGCGAGGAGGAGCCCAGGCTGGAAGCTGGTCTCCTGCGCCATGATGAATCGACCTTAGGAATGGATCCTTGACAGAGCGGCTGCTCGGTGTCGAGTTTGGTCTAGGCTCTGAGGGCACAGAGCTGGAAGGCCGTGCCTCTCTCAGGGGTTCCCGGGTTCCTGGGGACACTGACAAGTAAACCGTCACTTACCAAAGCCCTTGATAAGTGCAAGGTCAGAGTGTACGCCTGGGCTACTGAAACCCTGAGTATCGTGCTACTCGCTTCCACGGATGCCCTCCTGGCGGCCGCCTCACTCTCCCTGAGCCTCTAACGCACACCCCTGATCACAGCACGCAGGGCGTCAGGATGACTGTTCACAGGCCTGGCTCTCAGCGAGACTGTGAGCCACTGTGTGGCCAACAGTACACTCGAGGTTCTGAGCAGTGCACTGAAAAAATTGAGGCACTTCAGAAGGTGACCTTCACCTTGAGGTGTATGGGTTTATGGAAGCCAGATCAAAGACAAGGAGCGGACTGAGCAGGTTAGGTCCATTTAAATTACACATTGGGTATTGAAGGGGATCCCTGTGCAAGATTCATCATTTCTGCCTCATCTTCCAGTCTGCAAAGGGGACAGTCACTCAAGTCCAGCACTCTGGGCGGTGACAATGGACAGATCACCTGGGAAAGCAGTACACCTTTAGCAAATACCAAGTACTACCCGGGAACTAGGGAGGGTAATTCACGAATGTGCTGTGCTCACGAGACAGGCAGGGAGTTCAGGGTAACTCACACAGGGTGCTTGTTGTACATGATTGGCAGGAACTCGTCCACCGGCAGCATCTTCCCGAAAGGATCCGCTCCAACCAGCTTCTGCGCTCCTTCCAGAGAGATGGCGTAGCCCAGCGTCCAGTAGGAATAGTCGGCTTCGACCAGATTGACCACATTGGGCACCGCTTTCTCCGGCTCTTTTACTTGCATCCTCTTCCTGCCGATATAACTAGAAGGAAGTGGGCAGAGGAGACAATTCCAATTTGAATATCAGATATCCACAAGAATGGAGCACGGCTTTGCAGACACTCATGAAAGCTGAGACCAACTCTGTCGTGTATTAAACACATCACACCACACAGCACATCCTGTCTGTCACCAACCATAACTGTCATCTGCCATCGGTGGGGCCGTGGCCCTGGCATTATTTATCCACAGCCTATCAACTCCTGCTTAGTGGACAGTGTGTCAGCCAGAAGGTTAAGATGTAAAGAGAGTTCCAGCTGTGTTTACAGAGGTTGGCAGGGGAAACACAGGCCAGATGTGAGAATCCTGAGTCTCCAGTGCCCAGAGTTTCAGCCTTCGCTGTTGCCTGCACCGCTCTCCAAAGGCCAGTGGCAAACAGGACGGAAAAGGCCGTGGGAAAGAGGCAGTCCGCAGTAAAAGACCCAGGGACCCGGCAGCAGCGCCAAGGGGGTCCCTCCAAGGGAGAATGATGACAGCGCCTCACACTCACCTCGCGCTGCCTCCGGAGCGCCCCGCTCAGACTAGGCACGCAGGCAAGTCCTGCTCCCCATGAGCACCTCCGGCGACTCGGGTTGTGCCCGCAGCTGAGTCTGCCCTCCCACCATCTGCTCCCGGATCCACTCCCTCCGCCTGGAACCTGTCTGCCCGCCCCCTGCCTGGGCAAGTGGAGGCGGCACCTGCCTCCCACCTGCTGGGTAAAGCTGCCCTCCTCTGTTTTGCCCTACAACTCTCTGTTTCAACATCCAAGGGAATACAGTCAATAATACTGTCATAACTGTGTCTGGTGCCAGGTGGGCGCTGGACATATCAGGGGGGGCACTCTGTAAAGTGTACGATTGTCTAACCGCCATGCTGCACACCCCCAAACCAACACAAAATAATGTCAAATGTAAACGGCAATTAAAGAAAAATATTCAAGGGGCTCCTCTTGTTCAAACATCCCGGGATCCGCGGCACAAGTCCAAGTTCACCTTCAGTTCTGTGGGGACATCACATGTGTCCTCTCAGTCCCTGTCTCGCCAGACAGAAGAGTCTGAAATTTTTTCGTGAGTCATCAAGTGGAAGAGAAATCCCTGGTGAGCCCGTAAGGGGCGGCCAGCATACCCGAGGAGCTGAGAGTGTACTCAATTTTTTCCATTTGACTTAATTTCAGTCTTAAAATTGAAGATGTGTAAAATATTTTACACATTAATAAGCGCATGACATCCATTACACAAAATTCATTGTTTTAAGAAAAACTGTTATTATTATTAAACAAAATGTACTGTTTGAGTAGGATAACTGTTCACTTTAGCAAATGACAGCACAGCATTGGCATGGAGATGTGTTGTAGATGCAAAACGCTCACTGGATTTTGAAGATAGTGTAAAAAAAAGGATATAGCGCTGGCTGCTGTGGCTCAGTGGGTTGGGTGGGCGTCACCCTGCAAACTGAAAGGTCACTGGTTTGATTCCCAGTCAGGGCACAAGCCTGGGTTGCAGGCCAGGCCTTTGGTTGGGGGCATGTGAGAGGCAGCTGATTGATGTCTCTCTTGCACATCGATGTTTCTCTCCTTCTCTTCCTTCCTCCCTTTCCCTCTCTCTAAAAGTAAATAAAAATAATTTTTTTTCTAAAAAAGGATGTATACTCTCTCATTGATAGTTTTTTAAAACATTTTAATTATTTATTTTTTAGAGAGGGAAGGGAGGGAGAAAGAGAGAGAGAGAGAAACATCAATGTGCGGTTGCTGGGGGTCATGGCCTGCAACCCAGGCATGTACCCTGACTGGGAATCGAACCTGCAACACTTTGGTTCACAGCTCGTGCTCAATCCACTGAGCTACGCCAGCCAGGGCTTCATTAATAGTTTTGAAATACTGATTACGTGTTAGAATAATATTCAGGTACTTTGGGTTAGAGAAAATGTACTGTTAAAGCCCATTGCACCTGGCAGCATTTATGGAGAGACAAGCAGGTAAGCGGAGTCTGGAGCTGTACCTCCTACCAGCTGGGGAGGGGGGCTCGCTGCCCCTCAGAAAGGACCGCGTGCCCTCGGAGCGCTCTGACAAATCTGTCTCTCACTCACATCAGTTCCCAGTCCAGCTGAGCCTGGTCCACGTCGTCCATCAGCTTCATCAGCTTCTTCTTGAACTGGTGCTCGAAGCGCACGTCGTCCTCGATAACAAGCGTCTTCTCCAGCTCGCGGTCAATGACCTGCGAAGGTCGTCAGTGAGAGGTTCGACATTTATTTCTTTATTAGACGAGTAAGTATGAAACCGTCAGAATGTAGTGGCATAATGTGTAAAAGCTCATAACTGGATTCTACGCCAGCGCCCGTCGATAGCAGAAAGGACCAGGAAGCTGTGGTGCATTTACAGCCGTTAGAATGTGGGACCCACAATCAAATGCAACGACCTCGCAGGCGTCATGCTGAGAGGCTGTGCGTACCCCCTGGTTCCATTCACACAAAAAAGTACAAAAGAAGACAGAACTGTTCTTGCTGCTGTTCAGAGTCAGGGCGGTGACAACCCGTGGGGACAGGCGACTGGAAGGAAATACTGAGGAGGTGCCGCTGCAGGGCGGTGGCGGGGGGTGGGGGGCACCTGCTTCTTGATCTCGGTGCTGGTGAGTGTGGGTGCCGTGTTCAGTCTGGAAAGCTCATTGACCTGCAGTTTAATGCAATCTATGCATTTTCATACATATCTCTTACATTTCATTTAAAGGAAAAAAAAGATTGGCTCAGACTGGGTCATTCAAGGAGAGGAGGCATTGCAGGGGCCCTTCTTGAGGGACTTTCTCTGTTCCTGTGAGGACTGAACCTTAATCAAGAACCTCACACTCCAGTACCACCCATATCAATGTCTGATCTGTAAGATATGGGTTCAAGTCCTGCTTCTGCCACTTCTTGCCTGGACAACATATTCATTTCTTCTTGGCTAAAATGGGCCCAGCCCTCCCAACCTAGCTCATACGACTTTTGCGGGACTTCCCGTACGACATCACTCAATAAATGATGACATGCTAGACACATGCAAGGTGCTCCTATGAAGGATGAGAGTGCATCCATCAGTAGGAGTGTGGCCCCAGAACATGGGTATCTTCCCCTGTCATTGCCCCGAGTGGCACTACGGTGACCCTCCTTGCTTGTGGCTGGCCTTGGGACAGAGGGAGACACCAGGCAACAGCAACTCCCGAGGCTCCTTCCAGACAGAGGTGGGTTCACTTTACACCTGGCCCTCCTTCACCCGTAACGTCCCGTGCTCCTTCCTCCTCGTGACAAAATCGCACATCTGAGCGAAGCGCCACCTACCTCCTTCCAGACAGAGTGGTGGCTCAGAAAGCAGCCGATTTCGCCCCTGGTCAGAGGCCTGGAGGAGTAGGGGTCTCGGTACCCGGGCAGCATCTCGATGTTCAGGGCCTTCAGCTGGCTGGTGTTGAGTGCCCTGCACGACAGAGAGCACGTCTGAAGGTTACCAAGGTGAGAAGTGCCCACCATGGAAGCCAGAAAGAGAGCTCTGCATATTCCCCGAGCCTTTGTGCGCCTGGAGAAAAGCATCCTGGGTTTCCCATAATTCCTTGGGAGCTTCCCGGGGTTAAGGTGCCCTGGTGGCGTGATGAGCTTTGTGAAGACAAGAGGGTGTCCCACATTTTGTGTGTCCCCCACAATGCCCAGTGTAGTGCTAAGTACCTTCACTTCTTCGGACAAGTCTGAAAAAGTATTTTCCCAATGAAGGCGAGTGGCTAATAGAAACATTACATACCAGCAGGGATGAAGAGAGGAAGGAATGAAGGGAGGAATTGTATGTGTGTTTGTCTTTCCTTTGGATCTAATTTTTTGTAAAGGGTTAAAAACAAAAATGGCAGAAAGAATGTTGTAAAGTAGCAGGAGAGAAGTGACTCCCCACAGACAAAGCACAGTTGACCTTGAGCCACATGGTTTGAACTGTGCCGGGCCCGCTTATATGAGGATTGTGTTTTCAACAGACACATACAACACTGTAAGTGTATTTCCTCTTCCTTATGACTTTCTTAATAACATGTTCTGATCTCTAGCTTCCTTTATTGCGGGCATAGAGTATATGATACATATAACACAAAATATGTGTTAATCGATTGTGATGTTGTCGGTACAACTTCCAATCAATGCTAGGCTCTTAGTGGCTAAGCTTTGGGGGAGTCAAAAGTTACATGCATGTTTTCAACTGCAGGGGGTTGGTGCCCCCGGCCCCCACAGGGTTCAAGGGTCAACTATATTCTCAATAAGATTAATAGCTGATTCTCATCAGAAACCATGGAGGCCAGAAGGCAGTAGGTTGACCCATATAAATTTCAGATAAATACTTTTTTAGTATAATAAATAATTTTTTTCAGTGTAAGCTCCATGTCATGTTTGGGACAAATTTAACCGGGTGTCTATTATTTTATGTGGCAACGTTGCTCAAAAAATCACCCTGAAGCTTCTTAAATGCAGATTCCTGGCCAGCCCTGAAATCATGATTCGGCAGCTCTGCGATGGGGCTCGGGCAGCCGCCCTCTCCCCAGCCCCGTGGGTGTCCAGGCCCCACGTCAGGAGGCTCGGGTGAGACTCTCTAAAGGAGTCACGGGAATTTCCACAGCAGCCTCTAGCCATCCTCCTCAGGGGCGTCCACAGTCCCCATGAACATGTAACATTGAAGCTGCAGTTTTTGCAACAATCTATGCCTCGAACCAGGGCATCAGAAAGAAGGTCAGGGCAAAGCGGATGGAAAGAAAAGAACAACAGCAGCAGCAATAACGAAAACCCTGGAAGGAGTCTGCAAGGGCTACTCTCCTGCCCCATTCTCAGAAACAGCGACCAGCCCAGACGGATGGGGGGCAGGCGTCTCATGCAACAGGATACACAGGCCATTACACTGTTTTCCCATTAATTTCCTTCAGGTCACCCAAGTTTAGACACTTTGCTCTAATTCAGCCTCTGTAAGCAACTCTGAACACATTCTTTCCGATACACAGCAGAAAGCTGGGAGTCACCCCAACCATCACAAGAACCCCAGAGCTGGGGACTTGGCTTCCCGTGTGAGCCTTCAGCATCGTGAAGAACAGAGATGGCTCGACGGTGAGCGGGTTGCAGGCCAGCTCTACCCGGTGCAATGGACCTCCGTGCTACCGTATACGTCACACGTGTCTTCCCGGCAGGCCGCCCGGGGCTGTTATGGAAACGTGTCTATAATGACAGCGGGTCCGTGCTACCCCGACCCGTGCCCCCCCGCCCCCCAGAATAACTCCGTCAGGCAGGGCACATCCCCACTCCAACTCTGTCCGCAAAGAGTCCAGAAAAAACCCAACTCACTTTCCATCCACGGCCTCCACAATCTTGACCTCTATCTCCTGCTCGTACAGGGTGCGCAACATCCGGTCCCTCCTGTCCTTCCTGCGCTTGAGGTTGATCATGAAAATCTAACGCGGGAAGAAAAAGGGAAGAGAGCACATTACTCGGGCCTTCTGTTCGGCTCCTGGAGAGCTTACGTGTATGTAGGGCCCGCGTGTTAGGGTCTTAGTTAGGACAAGGAGTGGGACAACGGGGGGAGGCGAAGGTTTGTTTATATTTCTTATCAGGTCAAATGACAGGAATCCAAATGGAATCGGTCTGAAATCTGAGCTGTTTGCAGTGACTTAACCCTCTCGCTTTCCCCATGCTTGTTGATGAACACGTGTTCGCTTTGCTTTTGAGACAGAAACGTTGAAAATGTACTAATCAAGAGGCTCACGGTGACTTAAACGCAAACATAGTCACCAAAGGGTAGGAGGCAGCTTGCCAACTGGTTCAATTTATCAGCAGATCCGAGTCCCGCTCCTGACTGTTATTCCCTAGTGTTTGCCTTGGACCCGGTCCTCTGCCTCAGTTTCCTCTTTGGTAAAACTGGAATAATAATGGTCCTACCTCATGGGCACTAAATACCAGCTACTGTTATAATGTACATCCCCTGAGAGTACATTTGAAGTCAGAAAAATGTAGTCTGGATGGACACATTTTAGAGCCTCTTAGAAAGTTAAAGAACCTTTTATTTCCAAAGGTTCCACATGGAATTATCAAGGTCGCCATTTTAGTAGCATCTGTGTCAAAATTTAACTCGCTTCAAGGCAAGACAATTTTTCTGAAAAAAAGTAAAGGGAAGAGGCCGTGGCCTTGGGGGTAGCCCGTGGAGGAAGAGAGAGGGAAGAAATGGAAAGGCTCAAATGAAACCCTTCATTTCCATGCGGGTTGGTAGGAACAGCTATACAGAGGACACCCGCTGGCCCCAAAGCAGGTGCGTTCAGGGCACCCTCCTGTGAGGGCTGGGCACACCTGTGCACCCACTGCGGTCCCTACATTCCTGCTGGCCGCACTAAACAGGTTCACATCACGAAACCACAACAGGAAGTTACAGAGGATGAGGCTGCCCTAACTATCCCCAGGCCTAAGGAGCCACAGAAGAACCTACAGCCTCGTGAATGTTCTTACAGGTAAATTAGTATTTTAATAAGGTCTCTTTGTTCCAAGCAGCAAAAAAATCACTTTGGACATCAAACTAGTCCTGTGAGTGAAGGAGACTTCAGCTGCCGGGAAGAAATGTCAGCACACAGCATGGAAAAGGAGAAACCTGCAGGAGTAAGTCAGATGACGTTGGCTTCCTCCTGACGAACCATCTAGGTGACATTTAGGAAGACATTAAATGTTACGGGGTCCAGACCCTTGTTTCGGAAACGAGGGAGTCAAACAAACCCCCCTCTCAGGTACAGTACAGATGAAAACTTCTGCGATCCGTGGTTCACGAGAGAGTTGCTTTATGCCGTGTCCACAACAAGGAAGGGGCTGTCCTATACCCAGCCCGGGGTGCAGACTAGGTTAGGCAAAACCTAGTTAGAGTCATTCTGAGTGTGCTTACCAAAATTTTATATGATTTACTAGCATGAAAAGCTACACTAACTAAAATTTCATTGCTTCCTTACAAAATACTCTCCTTTCCATCCATTTCTAAAGCTCTGGGCCAAGAAACTGATTACGGAGCAAGGTGTCTGCTTAAAAAAACTGTTCACTGGCCTTGGGGCAAAGTGAGTCAGGCGCATTATTTTTTGAAAACATAATTTCTGTGCTGACCATTTGCCTGGTTACTGGGGATTTTACAGCTTCACGGGCGGTGTTCTTTGATATTTCATTTTCTCCCTGCGCAGAATTAGACCGCGAGGGGCCGTGTTCCAGCCCCCACTTTGGCGGCTGTGGGCAGGGCATCGCTCATGGGTACACAAGGAGCTACCCAGGGTCCCTCCAGGGGAGCAAAACGAAGCCAAAACAAAACATTTACAGAAATAAACAAAAACGCCCTCTCAGACCAGAGACCTCTCGCCTGGGATGACTTTGGGAAATTACAATCCTGTCCCAGTTTCTACCAGGACAAGTGCAATAAAAACTGTAGCCACGAAGGAAAAACACAGACAGCCTGCTCATACTTAGCGAACAGTAAACAGAGGAAAGGGCCACACAGCCAAGTGCAACGAGACACGGCCGCCAAGGTCAAGGAGCGCCGGGAGCGCTGGAAAGGCGCAGGAAATCTTTTTCCCACCACCCTCTCTCCGTTGGGGACAGAGAGGCGGTCACCCCGAGCTCAGGGGAGTCGCTGAGCCCGCATCCCTTGCACGGGTTGGCATTCTTCAGAGGGCTTCCAGGGGTGACCCAGTCGTCACATCCAGACGGAAGATCCTGGTTTTGTCCCATTTATCTGGGGACTGGGAACATGCACTGTACGGCACAGGGGGGTCAGTAAGGAATTTCCTCTCAGTAGGGCCACAGCACCCAGCACCGAGCACCAGGCCTGCCCTGTAACATCCAGAATCTATGTAAACACTTCAGCCTGTGGATTCCTGCCGACTGCCCTCGCCTCTGCGCCACCAGCTCCTGAGCCCTGTCGGCAGCCACACGCCACGAGAGACCAGGAAGGAGTCAGTGACTCGGAGTCACCTTTCTTGCCCTGCCGGGTATCACATACGCTGGGCGTACTACCAAGACAGGCATCTCTGTGTGTTTCTGCTTCATTGTTTGTACGGTTGAAACTTAGCAATAAACATGGCCCTCGGAGAGCTATTAGGAAGTTTTTGCCTGCTGGGAGGCAGAATTTTAGGACAGTTTCTTGGTTCTCTTTTGCTTTGCCCTCTCAGCCTTACCCTCCAACCTTCCTCCGTGGAAGAGCGGCAGAGAGAAATAGGTGGAGAGAGTTCCAGAATGGTCTCCACCCACTTTGAGTAAAGTTAAAATCCTCTGATACCTAATCTGTATTCTGCTTCCCCTTCCCCTTTGATCTGGGTAAAAAGGGTGATAAAAGATGGCAATATTTTAGAAAAAATATCAAATTTATTTTCACTACTCAACAGTAACTTCTTTGTGACCCAATGATTCAATCACTCTCCCCACGACACTCCTTTTTCCAGAGAAGAAAACTGAGGCACAGCGAAAACCAAGGGATTTCCCCCAAGACCTCAGTGCCTTCCCAGCAGCCAGGCCAGGCCGGCGGGCTCACCGACGGAGGCTCGGCTTGTGTCTTGGTATAAACACGGGAGCGTGCTTTACACATGCCTGCACACATGTGCCACACGCGCACACACAGACACCTTCCCTACCTCATCGAATCCCATCTTGTCTGGATACTTCGGGACAACCGAGACGAACTGGGACGGTTCCATCGGAGGGCGGTCAACTGGAAGACACGAGAAACACGCGGGGTGCTTCGTGAGCGAACGGCAGGGAACGGCGATCCACCCACACAGCCCATCCCTGGGGACACAGCCCGGGCGTCCCGGGCCGGGTCTCCGCTCAGCGCTTCCCCAAGACTGGGTGGCCGCGCGGGGACCCTGACGGCCAGGGCGCTGGTTTTGAGAGCGCTTGCTCATGGGCAGATGGCGGCGTTGGCCCCATGTCCACTGGGACTTACTGTCAGAGCACTGGGCAGGCAGTTTAGGGGGGCAGGGAGGGGCGAGGGCTCTGCAGGGAGAGGGCCTCCGCCTCTGAATGTCCGGAGCAGCCAGGAGCCTTCTCGAGGCCCCTTTCTCTGTGTGTACAGCTGGGATAATACAAGTGTATCTTTTTGGACATTATAAAATTTAAAAGATACGGGCATGCAGAGCTCTGCCACAGTAAATTAGCCTAATAACTACTCATAACTCTCGGCTAGCACTGACTGCGGCCCATGATGAAAGAGCTCAGGAATGGGCCAGACTTTCTCAGAATAATGCTTTTTCTATACAGTCAAACTGGTCAAAGTCTAGGACTATTTTTATCCCGGCCAGGCAGGACTCGCTACAGGTACACAAAAGGTCCTTTATTTTCACACAAACTCGGCTCTGAGGTCCAGCCCACGTCCCAGAACTTGGAACAGGGCCACCGAGGACATTTCCAGATGGAAGGGACAGCACATCTTAATAAAAGTCTTATTTACTTGATACTCCAAAAAAATCTATCTTGACAAAAATATGTGTTTTAAAGGTTGAGAGCCATGTTGATTTAAAAACCTGAGAAGGTCTTGAAGATTTTTGGTTATTGCCCACATTCAAAGTACTCATTTGGTTTTTTTTCTTAAAAAGATCACGCAAAGAATGTGTAAAATGAGAGCCAGTGAGCAGGCTGTTTGAAGAGCTGCGGGCCATGGCCACCGCCAGTGGTCGCCGGCACCCACTCTCCTCTCCTCCGGGTCCACGAGAGGGATTCAGCTCCTCGCCCTTGACGTTAGTCATGGCCATGTGACTTCCCCCCGCTTTACTCTCCAAACCCCTCTCCCGCCCCCCGCCGGGCCCACCACAGTGATCTGAGCAGCGTGTTGACATGGAGGAGCCACCAGCTGGAGGCAGCCCAGACTCATGTGCCAACCTGGGGCGGGGGGGGGGGGGGGCGGGGGGCAGCTGCCCAGAAGGACACCAGACCACGGCAGACTTTGCAGAGCCAGAAATAGGCCAGCGTGGTATTCGGCCAAGGAGGTCTGGGCCCTGTGGGATGCACCAGCCCAACTTGGCTCGTCCTGACTGAGGTACTGTCCAAAAGGCATTTTTTTAATGGACTTACCCTTTGCTGGGATTCCTTTTAAAGCTTAGTATTTAAAACATTTTTTTAATTTAATGATTTTAGAGAGAGACAGAGGAACATCGATTTGTTGTTCCACTCATTCATACACCCACTGGCTGTCTCCTACATGTGTCCTGACTGGGGATTGAACCTGCAACCCTGTGGCATCAGGCTGACACTCCAGCTAGCTGAGCCGTGTGGCCAGGGCCTTCACTGGGATATGACAGAGAAAGCAGGACATCATCAAGTAATGTCAAGTTCTAGAGGACAGTGAGACAGGTTCCTAAACCCAACACAAGAGTTGGTTCCATTACTTCAACCCTGACGCTCACGGTCCCATTTGTGTGCGAACACAGGGCACATGTTTTGTTTCGTTGGCAGCCCAGAACGTTCTGCTCCTTTCCATTCTGCCCCCCTCATTAGTTTCTTTCCAAATCAACAAATATTTGTGGAGGGTCCACCGTGCATGGAGTCAGGTTTTCAAGAGGAAGAGGCTTAACACACACACACAGTCCTCGTTCGCACTGGTGTTTGAGGAGCTGTCTGCTCCCGCTCCTTGGGCCTTAGGCTGGGGAGGGGGTTATTTTTTGAGTTGCCCTTTCCACTCTCTTGGTCTCTGTTTGGCACTCCGAAGGTTTGTGTGGCTTTAACATGTCAGCCAAACAGGCTGCTCTCGACCACTTTGCTTCTGTCCAACACGGGCGGACATTGTGTCCTGAGGAGAAGCATCTGGCTCCTGAAAACCACCATTGAGCAAAACTCCGAGAAATAGCCCTGGGTTTTGCCACTGCAGGCAGAGAGCTAAGCCACAGGGGGAACAGGAATGAGGAATTCGACCCGAGAAACTAACTGCGTGGGGAGAGGGAGGGTGTCTTTGCTGACAACAGACTCGAAGGTCAGGGATGTCCTAGCGCCTGTTTGGGGTCGTTTCTGACTCTGTCACTCACAGTGGATCCAGTCCCTCCCCGAGTCCCCCTGGATGCACATTCCCTCCCCGTGCCACCCTTTGGTGCCACGTGTTTCATTGGTTCCTGGCTGGTTTCAAGATTCAGGAGTAATAGCTATTTTGCACAGTTGTTATCAGTCACCGAGCTCTGGGCTTCCCTCTTGACATATTTAGCCACATTTAGGATCAGTACGACTGTCCTTATTCTTACAGAGAAGGCAACAAAGGCCTGAATAACTTGCCCGAGGTCACAGAGCTGATAGGGCTGATGTTGGAACCTAGGCCTCACTCCTGCCACTGTACCCTTGACCCCCAAGTTCTCCCCTGCCCCAAGGCTAGTCCTCGGTGGTCACTGGAGTCAAGCTGGCCTTGGGCAATGGGTCTGGGTTCATAGTAGCTCAGTGAGCTAAGTCCCTGCTCTTGGGTGACCATCACTTACTGCCCTCTCCGCGGTCTCCACTGGAGCCCCTGCCATCCAGCACAGCGAGTACCAGTCCAGCTGTTTTTTCTCACCCCCCCCACCTCACTCCCAACTGTTTCTCCTTCATCCTTCAAAATTCCCAGCATCTTTGAAGCATATTTTCATACCTGCTCATCAGGCCCCTTCCACCACGGGTGGCTATAGCCTGGGCTCTGGCTCACCGTCTCACCCTCCCCACCATCATTCCTAGACACCTCAGCATCCACGTGGTGGTCCATCCCACTGCCTGTCGGCTTCCTGGTCCCAGACCCCAGCACCAGCAATCGTCCTTTCAGTGGCCCACCACCACGCCTGCGCCCATCACACCCTCCACGCCTTTGCTTCCATTACCGCCCAGCCCAGACCTCAGTCAGGGTCCAGCACGCTAACCAGTCCTTGTCAAGACCCGAGAGTCTCTCCCATTGATCTTGTGGGGTAAAACCCCAATCCTGGTTAAACTCAATTGTCCACTTACTCAGCACCAAGAAAAATACCGCAAGAGAAATTCACACAGTTGTTTTGACTGCGTCATTGCACAACTCTAACCGCAGATGTCACATTGGCACGCCACACCGCCACGTGACGCGACTGTGTGCTTCCAACACAAAGTTACTTTCCTGTTCTCTGAGAAATCTATTTCAAGCCTTTCCCTCTCTCCTGAGATCTCCAACGTGTCTCTCAAGCTGACGACTGGACTACACGTGTCACAGAGAAAATACCCAAAGTCACATTAGACCGGCTTTTCCCTCGACCTCACACTTGCAAACCCAGGTGCACCCGACCCACAAGTTCTGACTCCTGCACGTCGCTTGTCCTCTCTGGTTGTCCTGCCTCTTGTTTTCTCAGGGACTTCCGCTTCACGGTCATCTTCTTCTCCGCGACATCATCTCCAAGCTCTCTTTACATGCTGGATCCTTCTGTTAGCACACCCACATGCTAAAATCCTATCTTCAAAATAAACAACACAAAAACCGAAACCTCTGCCTTGATCTCTCACTGCTTCCCAGCCACCAGCCTATTCCTCTGTTCTCCGTCCCAACAAGATTCTGTTTCCTCATCTCCCCACGGTCCTCTCTTCAGCTCCCTCCAATGGGCTGTGTCCCCATCGCTGCACCGAATGGGCCCTTATCAAGGACATCACAGAGCTCTATCCTGACAGCACAGAAGATCGATTCCCTACCCTCACTTCACTTTACTTCTCGGCAGCATCTGGCCCCTTCTCGAACACGTCTCAATTTTTCCTTCCAGCTTTCTGGCTGTTTGTCTTCCCCCGGGGATCTGTCCTCCCTTTCCTCTCCCCTTTCGATGTTCTGTTACTAAACAAGTTCACGCTGTTCCATGTCTTCAAGTATCCTTTTAACGTTAATGACTCTCAAATGTCTGTCTCCAGCTGGAGTCCCTCCCTGCACTCCAGACGCATAGAGCCAAGTATCTCCTAATCTTTCCATTCAGATGTTCAATAAATATCATCCACTTACATCATCGAAACATCTCTCCCCAAATCTTTTCCCACGGAGACTTTCCCACTTCAGTAAATGGTATGCCAGACCAGAACCCTGGACTCAGCCTTGATTCCTTTCTGTCCTCATGGGCTGCCTCCAGGCCTCTGTAAGTCCTGCCGGCTGCACCGCAAAAACATATCCTAAATCTATCTGCTTCCCACCACCTCCCGGCTACAGCCTGCATCCCAAACCCCTTCATCTCTCAGCCGAGAGAGACAGATAAACTGGTCCCCCACCCTGTAGTGTCCGTGCCACAGTCTGAGAGATCTTTCTACAGGCATCGATCACATCACGCCCCTCCCTCCTCCTGCTCTGCATGCAGTTCTGTTACTCTTAGATTAAAACCCCAACTCTTCACTGTGGCCACAAAACTGGGCCTGATCCGGACACCGGTCCCCCTCCATGACCTCTTCCTCTGCTACTCCACTCCGCGTCCTGTCCACTCCCACCACGCTGGCCTTCTGTTCCCGGGTCACCCCAGGCTCTTTCCCAACGGCCTTTGCACGTGCCCTTGTGTTCTTTGAAACACTCTGTCCAAGCTGTTCACTCATGTGGGTGATTCCTGGATATATCGTCTATTTCTCTGTGGGAGCTTCTGCCAATTTTGTCCACTGCTATATCCCCAGCCTCTCGAACAATCCCTGGAACATAGTTCGTGGTTAATAAATACTTACAGCCCAATTCTCTCTTCTGAGACCTTCCTTGGCTCCTCACTGCTTTGAGGAGGAGCATTCTGCTCTCGCTGGGCATGCAAGCACCACGCCAGGGGAGCCGTCCCAGGCCTCAAACTTTACTCCCTCCTGCTGTTTAAAGCCAACTCTCCTCCAGGGCGAGAATGCTTTTGGCCCGATGCCTTCGCTCAGTGTGTATCCCCTGCCTGTGGTGCCCTCAGCATATCACTCCCTCTGTGTAAAGCCCACGCTGCTGTCTAGGCCCCGCGTAAGAACCAGCAGGAGACGAGGCTCTCCTAGGTCACCCCAGCTCCCAGAAGCCACTCCCTGTTCCAAACTCCCTCTGCCCTTAGCCTGAACATCTGTTCCTCTCCCAAAGCACTACATCACCGGGGTCTTTTTACGTCTGTCCTGTCTCCCCAGTGAAATGTAAACACCCGAAACAGAGAATCGGTTATAAAATGTTTTAAATCCCCAGTACCGTCGAGAGTGACTCATCTGTTGGAGGGAGGCATTCAGCGCTTGCACAGGAATATGACGCCTGTTCTACGCTTCCCTTGGCATCGTCCATTAGCAGCTACTTGTTTACAGCCCGTTGGGGCCCAGAGGTTGTGCAGAGCGCTTTTAACATCTAGCTCATCCTGCCCGGGGACACGCGACAGGTATGACTCCATCACCAGCACAGTCCTATCAGTCCTCCGTGGGCCTCCAGACTACATTTCTGCTTTATTACCCTCACAGGTTTATTCTCCAATTATTTTCTATTCCGATTATGTTCTCTCTCGAAACCCAGAATCTGAGATTTTAACAAAACACTAACTAGAGAGGGAAAGTACAAGAATTGCATAAAATGCCCTCTCTGAAGTGCTTGAACGCAGTGCTCACTGCCCCGCCCGGCTCCAGCCACAGTCCTGCGGCCCCAGGACTGACTGCCCAAAATCCAGACTCCAACCTGACCCTACCCCTTCGATGCTCCCCTCCCTTCCAGAAAAGTCCGAACACCTTCCTACACTTTAGAAGGTTCTGCTGGCTGGGCTCACTGCTGGCCCACTGCCCACACACACACATCCTAAGCTCTGGCGATGAGTAGATGACTTTCTTAGACCCTGCACAAGAAATTCGGTGCCAATATTCCCTCCTAGGGAAAGCCATCTCCAACCTCTGTCCTCGGGCAGGGGGGACCTGTGACTTCCTCCTTCAGCCGCCTGTACATTATACATGATAATTGGTGCGGCTACTGATCGCTGAGCACTTACCAGTCCTGATCTCAAGCTAGACCTGCAGGCAGTAACAACACAGTGTCGAATGACCTCAGTTTCGGGGATAGCAAGACTGGTTCAGAACCTGTCATTGGTTTAGCAGAATGATCTGGTGCAAGTTACCTAAACTCTCTCTGCCTCAAGTTCATCTTCAACGTGGGGATAACAAACCCCTTTCACTGATATGTTGTGGGGATTAATAAGACAATGTACAAAGGTCCTGGTCATGATACATCATAAGCTATTATTATCAAGTTGAAGTCATAATTATTGTTGTTGTTATTAGATGTTTGTATATATCGTGGAGGATCTTCCCCCAAACGCTACAAGTTTTCATCACCTCCACTGCACAACTAAGGAGGTCAAATTACCTGCCCAAAGTCATCTAAGTAAAAAGCAGCAAAGTTTGAGTTTAAACCCCACCACGATACTCCACTGTAGCCCTTACGATAGTGTGTGAAATGCATTTACTGTGCACCCGGCTCTCCACCTGCATGGGACACTCCCTGAGGGCAAAGACTCCATCATAGTCACATTTCACATTAGGAAAAGCTCAAGAACTAATGAACGAATGAATAGCCGTGCTTCAGCCGAGGCGGAGGGGCGGTGAGACTCCAGTCCCGGGTGAGTGGGGAAGTGCCAGGGGCGGTCGCGGTGGCCGCGGAACCAGAGCCAGCGCGGGCCCCTGGGTCACTCACTCATGGCTTCTATCTGCACGTGGATGAGGCTCTCGATGTCGTCCTGCAGGGTCTGGTGGGGCTTCAGGGGGATGGGCAGGTAGCCGTAGTGCTCTCGGTTGCAGAGGTACATCTGGACGCCTGGGGGCCCAAGAGAGGGACAAAGCCAGCTGGTCAGAAAACGCCTTTCTCAGTTTGACGGTGACGCTTGTGGAGAAGGAGACGGGACTGCCGGTGAGGCCGGGTTTGGCGCTGACACTGAGCCAGCAGCTCTTCCAGGCACTGTCTGGAGGCCTCAGAAGTGCTCCTTTATTAAGAAAGTGTAACAGAGCATTGGGGTCTAATAAAAAGCCCAGGCCATGCTTCAGCTCAGAGGAAATTGACTTTTTTCTCCCTAAAGAAGAAGCATACTTGTGGTCTGAAATGAACACGAAAGGCACGAAGTGATCAAAAGGGAGGCGAGGAATTCCCGTTCCAGAGGACAGAATGGAACACTGTAATCCACCTACAGGAAATCATGAGGATGAGGAATAAAGTCCACATTTGATATGAAAGCAAACAGGCCGATAGATTATTAAAGCTGAATGTAGGCATCTGTAGAACAAAAAAATAAATAAAATAAAAAGCAAGGGAATTTAAATTCGCCATGACTCTCTTCGGTTTTATTTCTTCTCTTAGCAGGCACGGATTGGGAGGCAACCAATAGATGTGAAACGTCTATAACAGATTCATAAATGAACAAAAGAAAGTCTGTGTTTCAAGTCCGGTGAAGGACCTGCCAGAAATATGCCCCAGCCCCCTCGTATCCAACACTGGCCTTCACAGCCCCAGCTGGCGGACCCTGAGCTATGCTGCAGCATCTGCATTTGGCTAGACGGCTGGGAATACGGAGATCAGGATGGCCTCACAGAGACCCAGCAGCAGACAGTCCTGACTAACGAAAACATTGCTTAATTAAAAGCACGACTCTGCTAAGCTCCGGTCCATGTGCCCATGCTTCCGATTTGTTCGTTGATCAACTACAGTCATCTACGCTTTGCAGAGACAGAGTTTCCTGCACACGGCCTTCTCTGTGTCGTGCAAATGAGATTTCCTCCCGTCAGCTACGTCACCTGCCAAACCAGGTGAAGCTGTCCCACGGCATCAACGCAGAGGAACCAGAGAGAAAAGAGCTCTTATTTCCCCCTGTGCGGACGCTGGCGGAGTCAAGGCTGCTCCACCACGCTCTGTCACTTCTCTGGCTTCACCAAGTGAGAAGGAAAGTGATTTCACATTTAGGTTGCCTCTGTACCCTAATTAGGCCCATCGTATTACCATGTCACTTTCCAAAGCTCCAGTGGAAAGAGGAATGAGGCCTAGCCAAGCTGTCCATCAGGTGAGGGGGCGAGAGAGACGTGCCCAGACATGCAAGGTCATAAATATTTACTTCCCAGCCCTCTGCCTCATCGGGTTACCGGGTGATGTGGGAGAAGAGGAAGGACGGGGAGGGGACGGGGGAGGGGGGCTACAAACAACAAGGATGACTGGGGACGCACAGTGATGAGGACAGTCAGGGAAGAAGAGAAGAAAGGGGGTCCCAGGCTGGTGGCTGTGGCACCGCGAAGGTTAGAGGCTGTCAGAGGCTTGAGGGTAGATGCCACCACGAACACACAAAAAGAACCGCTGGCAGATCTGACCTCCCAGAAACCCCAAACACTAGTTTGAAAGGATATGGGCACCCGTATGCTCATTGCAGTGTTATTTACAATGGTCAAGACAGGGGAGCGACTCAAGTGTCCATCAACAGGTAGGTGGGTAAAAAAGTTATGGCACATTTACACAGTGGAATACTACTCGGCCATAAAAAAAAAGAGTGGAATCTTACCATTTGCCACAGCATGGATGGACCTAGAGGGCGCTATGCTAAGTGAAATAAGCCAGTCAAAGAAAAACAAATGCCAAATGATCTCACTCATATGTGGAATCTAAAGAACAAAAGAAGTGAACAAACAAAATAGAAACAGACTCATAGACACAGGGAGCCCATTAAAGGTTGGCAGGGGAAGAGGGCTGGGGACTGGGTACAAAAAGCGAAGGGATTAAGAAGTACAAACTGGTAGTTACAAACAGTCATAGGGATGTAAAGTACCGCACAGGCAATACGTCAATAACCTGTATGCAATACTATGCATGATGCCAGGTGGGTCCTGGAATTATCAGAGGGAACACTCTGTAGAGTATGTGATTATCTAACCACTATGCTGTACACCTGAAACCAATACAAAGTAATATTGCACGTAAACTGAAAAAAAAAAAGAAATGGATGCAGATGTACTTAGCTATATATAAAAAAATTTGACAATGCTAAGAGGAGTTTTAGACAATAAGGAATTAGTTTTGGATTGTATTAGTAAGGATAAAACTAAGACTCCCCAAAAGGCAAATGTTAAATTAGATATGAAAGGAAAACTGAGCACAGTCTGTAAATGGCCCAGTTTAGGGTTAAGTCCAGGTACTTACAGCATCGAAAACACTGACCATGCTAAATCACCACACAACGCTGCGGAGAGGACGGGGGCGTGGGCAGAGGGACCAAAGGGCAGAGAGAGTGCCGACTCCTCATCTGCAGGGGACGGTCAACCGATTCTTCCCACGGTAAAACCAGAAAACCAAGAAGTAGTGATACGAGCATGTTATTTAGATACACGGGTGCAAATATTATACTTGCATCCCCCTCGGGAAGAGTTACAAGCGTGTCTTCTAGAAAAGGGGAATGGCACAGGGGGAGACGTGCAGGGGACTCTGAATTTTATAATAAACCTTGGGGGACTCTTCGAACTCTTTCAACTAGGTGCATGGATAATTTGATGAAAACATGATCCTTTTTATTTTATGTTATTTATTTATTTTTAGAGAGGGGGAAGGGAGGGAGAAAGAGAGGGAGAGAAACATCGACGTTGGTTGCCTCTCATACACCCACTGTTGGGGACCTGGCCTGAAATCCAGGCATGTGCCCTGACTGGGAATCAAACCAGAGACCCTTTGGTTGGCAGGCCAGTGTTCAATCCACTGAGCCACACCAGCCAGGGAAAAAAAAAAATGAACATTTTTTAGAGGAAATGTGTTGATAGTTGGATAAAGTCTAGGAAGGAGGCTGGAGCTGTCATTGAAAGCTGCTGCTTCTGGGAAAACAAGTTTCTCTCTGAGAAAGAGTGCTGAATGACGGGAGGACGGTTCTTACCTCACGGAGACCTCAGTCCCTTTCTTGTCCTCACACAGTACCTTAACCCTGTAAGCTGATAGACTGATCTTTATCCTTGGTGATGAAAACTCAGAGAGGCTGTGACTGGCCCCCAGTCATATAGTAAGTCATTGGTGCCAAGCCTCTGTCCCTATGGCCCAATACCAAGCACCTTTCTACCCACCGGAATTTGGAAGCTGGTTCTCAGAACGAGCAATCGCTCTGCACCGCCGCTCTCCACAGGGGGCGCACTTTTAATCACTACCAGTGATGCGCAGGAGGCAGGTCTGCCCGCCATCACCCACGTTTTGTGCCTCTTTGGACTTACTAGAACATGACCGGCTGGCGCCAGGGATGGTTCTTGTGGCCGTGATACAAAGCCACGGCCACTGGCCACCATGGGAAGTGAACTCCTGACCCTGCTCTCATTATGGCCACAGGCACTCGCCTGTGACCCTGCTCTCTTTTGGGGCTAGACAAGTGGCCACGTCACCGGTGCTCCAGCGCCCTTGGATTGACCCTGTCACTCATCACCCACATGTGGCCATGCTTGGGGGCCAAGGTTAAAGAATCAGGACCAAGGTTTGTGGGGAGGTGGTCCTGCCTGGGGCATGCAGACCCTTTATTTCCTTTTTGATGGTTAAAAAACGATGCCTCATTGGATGCATCCCAGCCAGGAAGCATCGCAAGAGTAAGGACAAAAGAATACATATCATCTGCATAGAAATACTCCTGGGGCTGCATTCATGTCTCTTCTGAAAATATTGGTATTTCGAGACAAGGCAAAGTGCTCCCTTGGGGCCCCATGACGTCAGGAAGGCTGTTCCATTCCTGCCAATGGCAGTCACGCTTTCCTGTCCGGACTCCCGGCCCGTTCGCAGTTTGTACCGCCCACCTGCCCCTCGGCTTCCACTGTTCCATAGAGTGACGCTTACACTTCCACAGGGAAGGGTCTGACCTCTCCAAACACGCTGCCAGGCGCAAGAGGGAAGCCCAGGTCCCCGGCCCTCTTGCCTCCCTTTTCTACCTCTCTTCCCCCAGCTGAATCACCAGACAGCTGCGGACCTCTGCACCTCCTTTCAGTGTCCCCGGAGGGCCCTTGGGAAGTCAGACCGATGAGGAACAAAAGCCGAGGGAACAAGACAAGCGTAGGATAGAGCTGAAAAATCCCTTCCTAGCCTGTATCCAAGCCACAAACCCAGTTCTTGGTTTAAAAGAATTTATCGTCATAATTTAGCGCAGGGGTCACCCCAGTGCCTTGTACGATGGCTGCAAAGGGGACTCGGTTAGTCAAGGACGGTGACTGTAGTTGTTTCTCATTCACTCTCCTGAGACAGCCCTCCTGCAAGCTCTGGAGCAGAGGGCCCGGCACAAACGGAAGGGACCAGAAGGCCCTGCGTCTGCTTCTTCCCCTGGAGAGGTCAGAACAAATCACAGGCCAAGCTGAAAGAAGTGGGTTCCACTGACTCAGACACAGGAATATTCAGGAAAAGTTCCAATCCACAGGAGACTAAGGGGCTTGCTTTTGCCCTGACACAGGCCGAAAAATGCTGACCCCAGGCCAAAGGGTCTCAATGACCCTAGCAGCCAAGGGGAAAAGAAATCAGCCTTCCACATTTCCGCCAGATATTCTCACTCCTACCGAGTCTGCAGCTGAGGACAGGCACACCTTGGCTTCCAGAGCGGCCCGGGGAACAAGCTGTAGCTTCAATCTGTAGATTCAATCTGTATCCACTGTCTCACCTGCCAGCAACCTGGCTCGGCTGCCTGGGGTCCTGGCACGCTCCCAGCCACCCTCCTTTACACGGCCACAGTGGGTCCATTCACCATCCGCCTGGTTTCTGAACTCACTTGTGCCGGTGGCGAAGTGGCACGTTTCTGGCTCGTACATAATGGGACCTGACTTCCCTCAGGAAGGTCTCAGTGGTCCTGAGAAGAAAGTGTTGTTTCAGGAATGTTGTATGTCTCCCTGTTGAACTGCTTCGGTGAATTATGTCCTCCCTGATGGCGTGTGCGGGTGACTCGGGAGAAATAACTTACATTCCTACTGACCGGTCTTCTTTTAAAAACTCAACACACACCACTGGAAATACTTTCCTAGTGCCGCATGACGGACTTCAGTCTGGCCTTGCCTTACCTTCCACGGGGACTGTGGCAGACGCTGATGGATGACTCCCGAACCCCCCCGCCCCTCCTTCTTCTAAGTGAGGGGATCGGGGCTCTACTGCACGGACGGCATTCGGAACCTCCCTAGGTGTCGTCCTCTGGCTAAGTTCTGGCTGATGGATATGCAGAGGAGTGATGTGTTCAGCTTCTGGAGGGTACCCTTCAAGGGGGGCGGGGGCTGGCCCCTCTCTGGTGCTCACTTGATGGCTGGAACACACCCCTCCTGATGAGACATCCTGGATCATACGGTTAAAGCCAATGCCACGTGGAGGGTGGAGAAGCAATAAAGGATTCTGGGTCCCTCTATTTCCCACACTTCAGGGGAAAACGTGTGGACTGGAGCCACGATACCAGCTCAGATTTCTCTGAGAAGAAATTATCTTCCATTTCTAAAGTCTGGGTTTTTTCCCAGTGTCATTTTGGGTCTCTGTCACAGTGTCTAATTAATAAAAGGACTCCTGTAATGAGCAAAAAAACACAGCAGCACCAGAGAGAACCAATTGCCTGCCTGTGGCTCCTACCCCCACCATTGCTCAGGAAGAAGAGAGAGGATTCTGGGTAAGGGCTCTTGCTCGTGGGCACTCACAGGGACAGCAGCACAGAGGGTGCTGGTGTGGCTGCTGTGACAATGAATTGCCTCCAACACGACCTAAAGAGGAAGCCCAATGTCCACATACAGCAGTGTTTCTAAGAACAGGCACAAAATGAAGAAGCTGTTTATGTGCAGTGTTTCCATGAGGGCGTGACCACCGCATACCAGCAGTACCTGCTTGCCTGCTGGAGAAGGCGAAGACGATGATGTCGTCGAAGGTCCAGGCGTAGTCCTGGTGCGGGGGGTAGAAGGTCAGCTTGTCCGAGGCTTCCCTCCGGAGGTCAATGAGGAAGGTGGAGTGGACCATGGGGACGGGGAAGCAGCCGGTCCTCTTCCACTCTCTGATCGGGACGTAGTCGGGGGTCCGTTTGTAGAAGCCCTGGGGAAGAGCAAGCAGGCGGACTGTGTTCCCCGGTCCCAGCACTGCGTCCTCCAGTCTCCTGCTGGCTGACCCCTTCGAGGTCATCGCCAGTCACACAAAAGTCCCCAAGCCAAGTCCCCCTCATGCTTTTTATCGTGGCCTAAGACTTTGGCCTGCCTGAGTTCAAATCCCACCTCAGCTACTTTTTGTCTGTAGGTATTGGTGAGATTACTCAACCTAGTGCCTCATCTGTAGAACAGAAGTGATGGCCCCATCTACCCATGGGAGCTCAGGGAGCTCAGAGTAGTGCTAGCACCGAGAAAGCACCAGTCGGTATTGACTATTATTAAAACTATCACATTACGTTGGTTAATACAATTAGTTAAACGTGCCATACTTAAACACAGAAACAGGGTCTTGGTCCCATGAATTTATTTATTCAGCATTCTGGGGGAGCTGTCACTGCACCACACTTTTCGAGGATTCCCCTCTGGAAAGTTCCTTCTGGGCAAGCACACGGGACAACCAGTCCCCTTCCTCTGTGGTCACATCTTGTGTTGTCATGTTCGTGCCCGCACATTAGGCATCTCAGCCTCCCCGACTTCTCTGACAGTCCCCTTAGTGTCCAGACGAGCGCTCTGGCGGAGCTAGCGACCACGTGGCCAGGTCAGCGCACATTAAGACTAAGAGGCTCAGAGTCATTTTGAACATCTTGTATCAGGGGTATCAGACTCATTTTCCCTGGGGGCCACATCAGCCTCGCAGTTGCCTTCAAAGGACTGAATGTAATTTCAATTCCTTAACACTTAAGAAGTAGTTGCATGTACACAGTCTTAAAATTACAGCCCTTTGAAGGCAACCGCGAGGCTGATGTGGCCCCCCAGGGAAAATGAGTCTGACGCCCCTGCGTGTAGCTGCCTTAGCTTATGCTTCTCTTTGAGCCTGAGTTTCCTCTCACAGGGCTGTAGAGTAGACCTCAGGTAATGAAATCCATGAAGACTTCAAAAACTGGAATTCATTATGTGATTATTAGCATCATTTTTATGAGCCTTTAAGTGAAGGGTCACTCAACACCCTTGAGTTAGGAGAACAGGGATCCTCCTAACAGTTCAACGTAGCAAGCTTCTTCCAAGGGGTAAAGGGAACGCTGGTCTTTAGGGGATGGCTTACGAACACATGTCCAACGTCAAGTTCTAGACCACTTAGGGACAACATTCTCAGAGTGAGAGGCTTGGAAAATTCATGATGCTGATGAACCACTGAATATCCTGGGGGCAGGAAGGAAAGAAGCGGGGAAAGAGAGCTGGGTGCCTCCTGTAGACAGGCTGAGGTGATCATTGTGTCGCCCTGCTCCCCACTCAATTGAATATCGGCGACAGGCCCTGCTCACTGGCCAGAAGCCACCCCCGAGGGTCGTTTTGTCTCGGACGTGATTAAAAGCTCTGCCTTACGCTTGTGCAGTCATTGGCTGCCCCAGCAGAAGCCTGACTGGGGATGGCGGAGAGCCAAAGACAGAGGGAAATTAGATGTGCCCCTAACTGGCTGAGCTTTTTGCTTTCGTTGTACAAAATAAGTGAGCACACTTCTCCTGTTTGCTTGCAATGATGAAAGCAGAGAAGAAGATAATAGAAACCCCGGGGCTGTGCTCACTAGACTCATCCAGCCTCCTTGCTGGTGTCAACGTGTAACTCATTCAAAACAACCCTTGAGTGAATCTGTGCCCAGAAACCCTGCAGATTATCAACCGAGAGCGTGTGAGCTCAAATGAACCCAACACAACGTTTCCCCACTGAGAACTGAGTGACTTGTATAAATACGAACTTAGCGCTTCCCTCAAAGAGACATGGACCATAACACGCATTCAAAAATCTGTTGGGACGGGGGGTGGAAATATTGTAACAAAAGAGGAAATCTTCAGCTAGTCATGTGCTAGAGCCACTGATGGTTCAATTCTCAGGAACTGTGCAAACCAGTTGACAAGTTGGTAGCTGTGAAAATAAAAATCCGGCCAATCCCCATCATCGAACAGAACCAAAGATGTCAGCTTTGCATATCTTTACATAATTATCTCCTTAAGTAGCGAGGCTGCAGTTTACTTAACCTTTCTCTTAGCTTAACCAACATTTAAGTTGTGTGCACGGTGGGAGTCCTCACACTGTGAAAGCCAGGAAGTGTTACCAATCAGGATATTTCCCCCACAGAGAGCCAGTTACTAACATTTATCATCTGGCCCCGAACCAAACCAAATATAAAAGAGGGACTCAAAATTTTGGCCCTTTGGTATGAGACCACATTCAATGTATACATATATTTTTTTCCTTAAGCCCATCTTTATTCTACATTGATCAGTGTATCTTTTGAATTCATTAACTAAAGAATAAAAATATAAACAACCAGACAAATTCACTGTAACAGATGTCTAGACTTTAAAGATTTTACAACAGAACAGAGAGGTGATAGAAATAAAAGAATTCTGTTTTTAACGTGAAATTTCTAAAAACAAGCTACCATAGTAGTTCTAATTACTAGATTTCTTTAGAAATAAATTTGGCAACATATATCAAAGCTCATCAAAATATTTATACTCTTTGATTCAGTCATTCCACTTCTAAGAAGCTATCCCCAAAAATGAAATACAGAGAAAAATTATATTAATCATGGTGGTCATTATAATAGTTAAAAGTTGCAAACAACAGAAATGTTTTTAAACTAAGAGAAAGATTAAGTAAATTGCATTAAAGCCACTTGACAGAGTTACTCAAAACACACAAGCTGCTATCTATGATGCTGGAGTGGAGATTAACACAACTTCCTCTACTTTTTTCACTTTTAAATTTTCCTGTAGTGTTCTTATGAGAGTTTCAATGACAACTAAACTATTACATTTTTTAAAAACCTCTGAATCAGGGAGAAAAAAGTACAAATCCCAACAAGTTGGATTGATCGGTTTAATGCTAATTAATGCTAATGCTAAGCTCAGTAGAGTATTTTTTATATGTATAAAATTCATTAAGGCAGAAGAGCTCACTGTTTGGGGCATGGACCTGGGTGTGCCTCGCCTCCTGCAAACGCATGCCCTGAAATGACAGGCATCGCTCCGGGGAGGCAGCGAGAAGGAGGCCAGCAGGGCTGCTGCGGACACGTGGCTCCTGGCGAAAGCCCGTGGCGTTAGTTCCTCCGCCCGAGACTTGCCTGAGGTGTGATTCCGCACCAGAAGTTCGAGTACAGGCCCCGAGACTCCAGCATGGGGGCCACGATGGTCTTGTTTTCCGCAATCATCAGACTGAGGGTCTGGGGATTAGTCAGGAAGTTGTCAACGTCAATAAACTAGGAAAAGAAAAAGAGAAAGGCAGGTGAGGAGGTCCTTCTCCGTAACGGGTTCAGGAGTGACCCGGCACTTCCGGAGCATCACAGAGGCTTGCTCGAGGGATGTGGAACCAGGAATCTGTGTTCTCCTTTGGGAAACCCACTGCAGCTGGGTGGCTTTCGTGGCGACTAAATGCATCTAGTCTGACTGCTACGTGCAAAAGGCACCAGGCGATGAATGGGTGTTAGCACACTGGGTGCTCGCTCACCCAGGACCCAGCCTACAAGACACTCATGGCTCTCAAGCCCTTAAAAGTTTATTCAAAAACACTTACTGAGCACCCATGCTAGATACAAATGGACAGGCCTATTCATGTACTATATAAGAGTGCCCAAATGGCCCCAAACAGATTCATCAATGCTATTTTCATGTCATAAGTAGAATTTTTGTTTAAAGTATATTATACCAACCCATGCTAACCAATAAGCCATTACCTATTCTTAGCAAAATTCCATGTTAACACTGATTCATTTACAGGGACATTACAGCAACATGCTCTATCATAAAAAATAAATAATCACAGTGAACCGTACACTCAAAATGCTTAAAATGGCAATTTTTTTGTTTTGTATATTTTACCACACACACAAAACAAATAGCCAGAAGCTTTCATTCTTATGAGAGTCAATCTGTTTACTGAAAATTTTGTGGCTCAACATTTGTACACTTCAGTGATACTTAAACAGCTATGCAATGTTATGTATCCCCACCACAAGTTAAAAGCTTCTGTGCTTTATTTGTATTGAAAGTGTGTGTGCGGCAAATCACTGGGCTGGGCTTTGTGGTGGTGGAGGGGCTGGAGACGGACAAGGGTCCGAGGCATTCCCTCCAGAATCAGTCCAGTGACAAAGAGACGCCAATGTGTCTAATGAAATATCAACTTCGCTGTATGGGCGTTATTTCTCGTGCAGTACTGGAAAATGATTGTCGAGAGAAATAAATGGACTGGGGGATGGGTGACACAGATGAACACTCGGTTTGCAGAAACTTGCAGGGCAAAGGTCCACCTTCTAAAGGGAAACGGGAATGGCAGCCGCTCGGGAAGCTGGCCTTTCCCGCCAGGACGGGTTCATGGAGGGCAAGGAGGGGACACAACACTGGTTCCTGGTATCCAGCCCCGCACATCCTGGACCCCCTCAAAGTTCCAAGGGAAGCGATGGAACCTCTTCACGGAGAGAAACCCTCCACGCCAGCCCAGCGTCACGGGGAGCGACGGAGAAATCAAGAAAGAGATGCCATTCTCCAGCCCGCTCAGGAGCAGAAGGGAATGGCATTTCAGAGTAGCTCATTTAATCTTGTTCCAGAGTTAACTTTTCACATCCACAGAATTCTTCTAAAAAGTTATTCAGACAATTTACATTGCTTTACTACTTTTTATGCCTGTTACATGAAAGAGATTGAATAATTCAAGAGCTCATTTACTTACTGAAAACGCCCGTCAGAAGTGGGTCTGAGATGAGACCCAGGTCCCTGACATTAATTCCCGACAGTTCCCCTTGTGCCTCCATTGAAAAGCAGGGTGGTGCTCACCCAAAGGATTGTTTTGATCGACTCTGTGGTCCTAGTTTCTGGACAAGCGGCTCGGACACATTCTAGATAACAGTTGCCAGGAAATCAAACGTGTGATTTTACCAGAATGTAGTCTGACCATTTCTCCCTCGCAGTTCGAAGGGCTGCCTGGCGCAGTTTCATCACGTGGGCAAACCGGGAGGCGGGCCAGTGCTTCGGGCCGATTTCATTAGGATAAGACCTAAAATAAATAAATAAATAAATAAATAAATAAATAATAATAATAATAATAGCAGCTTATAATTATTGAGTGCTTACATATTTCAGGCACTGTGTAGTAAGCCCCTTAATCTTCCAGTAACCCTAGCTTGAAGTAGATACTATTGGTATTAGTATCATTCCCCTTTAACACATAGGGAGACTGAAGCAAGGAGAGATCAAGTAACTTGCTGTTTACCGTACACAAGAACCTTTACATGAAATATTTCAGCGGGTTCTAAAAGGAACCCACGGAGTCCCTACTAGGTGAGGATCATCCCTCAGTATCTACGGGGGATTGGCTCCAGGACCCTCGTGGACATGAAAATCTGTAGATGCTCAAATTCCTTATATTAAATGAGTAGTATTGTACTTATAACCTGTGCACGTTCTCCCATATATTTTAAATTATCTCTAGATTACTCTGAATACCTAGTAAAGTGTAAATGCTATGTAAGTAGTTGCTATCCTGTATCATTAGTGAATAAAAGCAAGAAAAAAAAGCCTGTACATATTCAGTAGGGATGCAACCATTATAGGCTTAACTACACAGTGTACATCGACAAAAAGTAAGTTTTTTCCCAGATATTTTCAACCCACAGTTGGTTGAATCTGCAGCTATGGAACCCACAGATACAGAACCCACCAACTGTATCTCTGTTCTCTCCACTTCATAGAGGAGAAAATTGGTGTAGAGCAGTTTAAATCACTTGCTTAATGCTGTGTAGTTAAGAAGGAGAACAATCAGAATTTGAACCCAGGTATAACCCAAAAGTTCATGTTTCTAGATACTTTATAAAACATTTCATCACCTGATACATTTGGAAATTTTGTAGCATAAAAACACGGTTTACAAAGGTTTAAACCGTGGAAAAACAAAGGTTTAATTTACACGGGCAGGTCTCAGTAAAGGATTCCACAGACCCTGACCCTTTGATGTGTCCCAGGGGAAGGGAGGGAGGTCACGGAGCAGATGCACTGTCCTTGGAATCCCCGGCAGCCTCCTCCGGGCAGCCAGCCCGGGGCACAGGCAAGCGGTGGGAGTGCTCTCAAGAGCCCTCCTGAAAACTCCTAATTGGTGGGGGCGTGGCTACTGTCACTCACAGGGGCCCAGATTGGCCACCGCTTCAAGTTCTTGCGGCTGTGCTGGCAGCACTTGAGCCTCAGTGAATGAAAAACCACAAAAACTGTGCAAATAAGATTAATGAAACTATGTACCACACCGGCATTCTCTGGGGTGTCTTCCTCTATTATCGTTTCAATGAAAATCAGTACAGTTCCTGTCTCCCTGACTATATTGCCATCCCGAAGAATGCCTCCCTTAATATTTCTCACCCTAACCTTGTCATACAATACACTTAGTTGAAAGCTGGCGGCAGAGAAGATTACCAGGATGCAAGGTAGGTACACAAAGTCTTTCTGAGCCATTGCAATTAGGCCAAATTCCATTAAAAGGAGCTCCAAAGGGTGTTCAAAAATTTTTATAGTGTTCAGACTTTGTAGTTAAATTTTGCTTGATATATGGGTCATACACTTGGATTTGAGACATATATGTATACACATGCATAATAAAAGTATTAATATAGAGAGAAACTAAGGACCACAAGCTGAGATTTGAAATATATATATGAGAACCAGTGAGAACCTGAGCTTGGCCGGTACCTGCCAGAGTAGAGAGGAGGCGAGAAAGATGAAGCTCTGTCAAAAGGAAGAAATTTACTAGACGCGCAGATGAAAGACAAGAAAAGGTCGCGTGTGCCTCGGAGACTGGACACCTGCTTAAGGGAGGAAGGTGAGAAACGAGTTCGCCAGATGTTCTCTTGCTACTCACTCAGGCTCGTCCATGGGCCGCCACTCCACGTAGTGGTACACTCTCTGCACATTTCTCAGCCACTCCCTGAGGATCTCTGTTGTGTTGTCCACGTTGTGATCGGTGGCCGCCCTGCGCGAGAGAAAGCACAGCCGAGTTCAGTCACGCCATCCAAAGGAAGGGGAGGACATCCGAAAGACCTCAGGTTAAGTGAAAGGAGAATGGCCAGGTCTAGAAACGGTGCCTACGAAAATGATTCTGTCGCAGTCCAAACTGAACAGTACATTCCTACAGACAAAGACGCTGCTTCGAATCACCTTGTGTCGTTAGATCCTCAAACGAGGCTCAGCCAACAGCAGAATTGTAAGTGGTTGTAGCAAACCTGTACAAGCATAAAATGAATTAAACAACTAAACTGGAGTAAGTAAATTAATGTTCTTGGAAATCTTCCTGTTTGCTTTCATTTTTGGTTACCCAAGATGTAAACCCTGCCTTTTCACTAACAATTACCCTTCATTTGAGCAATCAGCTGCATTTTCAATTCAAGTCTGCCTGCAGGTCCAACAGAATTGTTTGTCGCCACTGCTGCCGCAGTCGCGTGCTGTAGAGGGGAAGCGGCAACCACTGTTCCCAGGACGCAACCCAAAACCTAAGGTGTCTTCACGGGGCTGTTTTGGATTAACTTTGCCATCACTTATACAAAAAGAGTACCATCAAAAGCCTTCAAGTAATGTATAAGAAGCTTATTTCTGTTCTACTTTGAAAGTATAATGAACTGATCCACTTCTAAAGGAGCTCAATTCACTTATTAAAACAAAAATATTTTCATATTATATCACAAAGCAAACTCACGCTGTGTAGAAGGTACACATCTAAAACAAAGTCGGAACATGTAAAAAGGAAGAGATATACAAATCAATTGGGGGGGTGGAAGGAAAGAAAATTATAATCTTGACATCAAATAAGGCAGAATTTAGGCCAAAGCAATTAGGCATGACAAAGAAGGACTGTAATTATTATTCTAAAGGCTATAACTCACATCAAAGACACTCATACAGTTCATGTGAATATGTTCGTACCTTCCTATAGTACAGGGGTTGGCAACCTTTGTAAGAGCCATGAAGTGACTACTTACGCTTGCAGGCCACATCCTCTCTGCCCCAGCTACTTAACTCTGCCATCGCGGCAGTGGTGGGGCAGTCGTAAACAGCGTGTAAAGAGATGAGCACTCTGTCTGTCAATGAAACTTAGTTACAAAAGCAGACAGCTAGTCTACAGGCTGTAGTTTGTTTGTGAACCCCTGATGCAGTAGAAAGTATGGAAGTTGCAAGGAAAACCAGAAACACCCATAGTAAGAAATGTTAACATCCTCTTTCAGTGGAAGACGGCGCAGATGCAAAACAGTAAGCAGATAGAGAGGATCTACAGAATACATTCCAGAGACTGTTTCCTTTCCCAGGACGCATGGGACAGTCAGCAAATTGTCCAACAGTTACATGATAAAGAATGACTCCAAAATATTAGAATAATGTCAATAGCATTTTTTGATCAGAAGGCAATAAAACTAGAAATTAGCAATAAAGTAAAAACCACAAATATTCCATTGTTTATTCTCTATTAAACAACTATGGAGTAAAAGAAGAACTACAGATCAATTTCAGAATGGATAAGCATGAATAATGAATACATTACCTGTTTTGGGATACAATTACAGTAGGTATCACAGGGGAAAATGTAGTTTTATGTCCGTAAATCAATAAAAATAAATAAGTTGAATTCCTACTGAAAAAGTGAGAGAAAGAGCAAGAAAACAAACAAGCAAAATAAAATAATAAAGATAAAGGTAGAAAGTTGTGGTATAGAAATCAGAAAAAGAGTAGAACAAAAAATAAAAATACTAAAAAAATTTTTTGTGAAAAATTAACAAAAGACAACAACTAGTCAACCTAATCAAGGCAACACAAATATAGCAACAAGAAATGACAAGGATGAGGGAATTATGGTTGATATGGAAGGCATTTTTAAAATCATAAGCAATTGCTCCGTACATGGTAATTGAAATTAAATTTAAAAACTAGATATAATGGGACATTTCCTAGGAAGATGCATGTTAGCAAAATAGACTCCAGCAGAAACAAGAAACTTAAACAGAACAATTTCCATGGAAGAAATAAAGAGAGAAAACAAAACAAAACGTGCGGCCCAGATGGTGTCACAAAGGAATTCTACCAGACCTCTTAACAGACTAGATATTTCCACTGCGATGCAGCTGGTCCTCCAGAGCACAGGGGAGAAGATCCCAAGTTCCTTTAATACAACAAGTTCTGTCGACATCTAAACCTAATGAAGATGCACACACGGAAACCCACAATATGCACAAATGCCCACACAAAACTACAGACTGTCTTTTAATGAACATATTGCAAAAATACTCAAGTATCAACAAACAGAATCCAACACCCTATTAATAAAATATTGTATAGCCTGTGGTAAGACCATTCCATATAAAGGAAGTCCATCAGTGTAATTCACTATGTTAATAGATCTGAAGAAAGTCATAGGGTTAGCTCTGCAAGTGCTAAAAAGATCTTTAACAAAGCTGAATATCTATTCCTGCTTTGTAGAAACCATATTATATAATTTGATGAAGCATGTCACCCCAATAAAGTCAATAAAACACATACTAAATACAATTTAAAATAAAAGGAAGAAGGGAGGAAAGGAAGGGAGGGAGGGACAGAGGGAGAGAGGGAGGGCAAACAGAAAAGAAAGGGTCATGGGGGGAAAGAGATTTTGCTGGCAATGCAGCAGGTCCTCCCGCCAGAGAGAGCTATGGGCATTGCCAGCAGCACGGTTCCCTGGGCACGTGGCCTGGAGAAGAGCCAATGAAGAGCTGCCAGCAGTGGTCACTTCTTCCATATATGGCAATTTCAGGAAATAGGCTTTTGTTAAACCCAGTCCATAATAGCTTTTGTTCTTTCAGCCTGAGCTTGTGGAGGTCACAACAGCTCCAAAAGTAACACATGAAATCTTTAATAGAGAGAATATCCAGGAATGTTCAAGAGAAAAAAAACCATTAAGCAAAGCAGAGTGGAACGCAATGCTACATAGGGATTAAAATTCCGTAAAAGACCAAGTAACCTGAAACTTCGTCAAGTCACACTTAAGTCATAAAGTATAGAAAAATGGGATAGAGGTGTGTGACTCTATTCGAAACTTACTTTCTAAGATAAATATTTGAACTAAAACTAGTCTTAATAAAAACCCAGGCTAGCTTATCTACTTCCAAGTCTCTTCTGGAAATCAGGTTAGAGCCAGATCCTCTTTTCAGAACAAGGTTTAGGAGCGAGGGCAGGGGCCCTCGGACCCACCTGGACATGGAGGGACACGGGCGCCAGGTGGGCAAGCGCCTTGGGCAAAGGCGGGATAACTCCCGGAGGTGGGAAATGGGACGGAAAACAACACGGACAAGGACCGCGGGCTCCATCGAGCTCTCGACAGTGCTGAGAAGTGCAACGTGTCAGCGAGAATCCCATCTACGTGACACAGCCACAGGCCACCCAACGTCCGGCAAAACAGCCGAGAAGGGCACTCAGAGAGTCGGCCCCTGAAACTGGGAATCAGCTCCAGGCACCGTATTCCTCACTCCAAATAGTATGAGTAAGTTAAAACGAAACAAACAAAAATTATCTTGACTTCAGCGTCAGCCAAAAGCTCTGAACATTCTATGGTATTCCCAAATTGCTTGGAGTGTCGGAGAATTTATACAGCATCCAACTTCTTGTCTTGATTACTGCTTCTCCATCACACAGGACTTAAGTTCTCTTTGCTTTCCCCGCACATTGATGCATTTATTTCCTAATGATTTGAACACGCTTGGCCTTAGTGTATAAAATTTATTTTCCGGGTATACAGACTAAACAACTTCAAGCTCGAAGTATCCATTACTGACAAACGTCCTTAGATATTAGCTGCTTGGAGTACACAAAGATAAATGTGTCTAATTAAAAACAGAAGCACGGACTTTAAATACTCTTCTTGTTGAGTTGAAAAATGTCCTATATAGTCAGTGCCCCGAATTGTTGATTCTCTTTGTTCGTCAGTTTATTGGGTTCATTAGATTCCACACACGAGTGAGCTCACACGGTGCTCGTCTTTCTCTGGCTTATTTCGTTCAGCGTAACGTTCTCCAAAACCAGAGGCAGGGATACACGGAACAGACTGACAGGTCTCAGAGGGGCGGGGGTGGGGGACTGGAGGAGGTGAGCAGAGGAACATATTTGCATATATGCATGGCCCCCGGATGCAGACAACGGTGTGGTGAAGACCTGGAGGGGGTGGGGGCTGAGTGGAGGGGGCCAAAGGGGAGGAAAATGGACATCAGTCATAGTGTCAACAATAAAAAATGAAAAGATCCCCTTTGTCCTCAGGCTTCCAAGGAATAGAAGGAGACTCTGGATGTGGTCTGAGGTCCATCCACACCGCCTTTGAAATGCAGGGCCAGTCACTGTCCCAGAGGAAGGGCAGCGCTGACCACGCCCGCCTGCCCACCCACCAAGGAAGGCTTGCACGCCCCCCTCGAGACTGATGCCCTGCCCTCGCCCCCGCCCCCCGCCCCGTGAAGGCAAATCAACAGAAACACAGGCAGACACTTCCAACTGCTGCCTTTTAATCCCTCTGTCACAAATGTGTTTCCGCTCAAATACATAATCATGAAGGCACGCGGGCGCCGGCCCATTCAGAGAACCGGAGGGGGAGACAGCAGAGGCCCAGCTGCAAGCTCCCTGGAGGAAACATGAGGCTTGAGTTAGAGGCTCTATTTTCAGAGCCCCGCGGAAGGGGCCAGCAGCGCGGTGCCTGTCCTGCTGTGAGGCTCCGCAAGCACCTGGACACAAAACACTGTGCGGCAGAGCTGGGTTTTCCCGTCAAGCCAGGAGGCTGAGGACTCGGGATGTGTGAACCGCTCGGGGGAAGCCCAGGCATCTCTTCCACCCTGAGGGCTCCTCCCCACCCCAGGGAACGTGAGCGCTGTCTGGGGTCAGCCATCCTTCTCCTATTCGGACCAGAAAGGGAATGGGCGTGGCCGAAGGATGTTTTTGAAGAAAACAAAGGATGCGCGAGGAGATGTCTGC